GCCGACATGAGTTCTGTTCCTGATTTGACCGAGAGCGAAGCGAAGGTCGGCGCAATCATTGCATTCCGGCAGCTAGACATGTCCAAAGCCACGAACTGGCAGCCTCAGATGTCTGAGTACCGAGTAGCTGAGGTGCGCTCTGTTAAAGACCATGGAGTGATTGATGTATTACTGGCCAAGCGAGATCGAAAGCCCCGTTCAGCATCCAGTGAGCATGATGAGCCCCGTCAATTCAGCAAGTTTGAAGTACCAGACCTAGCCAATGACGAGGGAGATGATGATGGCTATCGGGAGCTTGCCTTTGCGGAACTCAGCGATCCGAAGCTTCTTCAACCCGCAGCACAGTCGGGTGCTGAATCTGAGGACCAGAATAATACTCGAGAAGGTAGCATGTCAGTGAAATAAACTCTGATTGATGGCTCATGCTTACTTGTCCAAGTGTCTCTGTAGTTCAAGAATCCGTACCGAATGCCCAACCAGCCCTATCTGAGGAAATGTACCTTGACGACACAACCTTTGTCACCATTGGAAATGAAGTCAGCCGTCTTGAGTCCCCGCGTGAATCCCCGGGAATGCCCGATGAGCCTATCCAACAAACTCCTGGCAGAGGCGTGCCGCAGATCCAAATCCAGAGAGGATCTGATGAGCGCAGTATTACACCCCCAATCCCGTCACCTTCTTTCACTGGATTTCACTCTGCTCGATCCTGGCAGCAAATGACCCCTGGTGTTGAGCTCAGTCGCGAGCTTGAAGGCCATACTCTCATCGGAGGAGATACGCCATCTGCTTTAGTCAGTCGGGACGAGGATCCTTCCACGATGTCATATGCTTCTGCAAATCAATCCTTTGCCGATGATCCTGAGGACCAAGAAATGTCTGAGCATCAAGAGCATGAACGCCAGGTCGTTAACGAAAATCTCTTACCGCCTGGCGAGTCGGGGGAGAGTGGTCCTCAGTCTGGTTCACTTTTATCCACCATTGACCGTAATGTTCACGATGGTGCGTCTGATTCTGACTCTCTGTTTGTGAAAAGAGATACGAAAAAAGAAAAAGACAATGCAGCTCCCAGCAGCTCTTCTGAATCGTGGAAGGATCTTTTGAACAGATTAAGGAATGGCCCATCGGAGCCAGGCGATTCACTCGTCACGAGCGATGCCGATGACAACAGCGGCAATGACAACAACGACGACGACAATAGTGAAGGCGGCAACAGTGAGGGCGGCAACAGTGAAGGCAATCAGAGTCCCGAGCGGCTGGAAGACAGCGTACAGCACTCCTACCTAGATCTCAATTTCACGCCGCTTGACTCCCCACGGGTATCCAACTCGCGCTCTCCCAACCCACCAAGGAGTGCCCAGCAGGATGTCCAATCCCAAAAACAAACCTCATTCCCTTTGGCATTTGAAACGGGATCCCCCGCCACATCTACCCGCTCCAAACTCTCCCAGCGGGTGCAAGAATCCGAATCCGCCTCCCAAATCCCCGCCTCCCAGACATCCGAAGTGATTGACCTCACTTCCAGCCCACATGAATCACCTGAGCCCAGCAGCTCCAATTCGAACCCATCACAGCGCTCCAAATCTGCAGCGTATGGGAAGTCGCAACGTGATGAGGACATTCCTCGCTCGTCTGGACGTCCACCCCGAGCTTCTACGGGGAGAGTCCAGCACCTGGTAGAAGTGAGTATCAGTCCTTCTAGTCAGAAGAAGAGGCGCTCGTCGCGAAAGTTCTGAAATATGCTTTATGGATCGTTATTGAAGTTTGAAGAGATATGGATGTCCTGTTGGCTGTTGGCAATTCAATTTACATTGTCTGTATATGTATGGACGCAGAGCGATGGCGTCTAGGAACCTTGCACATTCATTTTATTCCTGGACATTATTTTATTTCGGCTGGAGGTCAATACAATTTTATGATTATTCTGAATGTTCTTGCTGATGACAAACCCCTTGGTTGTTGTATACTTCGGTACGATATTGAGGCCAATAGCGATGACATGAACCATGAAACCGAGGAATATGTCTAAGTAGTCAGATAGTTAGTATATGGTGTATATGTACGGGCGTATATTCATTTTATTCGTCATTCATAAAACAAGATATTCTGATGTAGATCAATGACAAAACCTTGCTCGTGATTGGTTGGATTCATCTATCCAGTGATGTCAAGTGATGTATATACTTCAGGTCTATTACACGACCTACAGCGACCTACAACGACCTACAACGACCTACAACGACATACAACGAACTTATATCTTCCAAAGTATTACAATCAAATAGATTGAAACAAAGAAACCAACCTATTTAAGGAAAAATCCCTTCTGTTTTCTCTTTTTTTTTCCCTCCTCCTTTTTTCTCTTCTCCTTTTCCCCCTCCCTTTTACTTATGTACCGTTTAAGTACGTGGCCATCTCTCCAAGTATCCCGGCGGTGTAACTGTCTACTCTGGTCATTACGCCATACTCCCTCACCCCGCATATCCAACTTACTCTTGACCTATTCTTCTTCTTCTTCTTCTTCTTCTTTGTCCTACTCTTCTCTTTCCTCAATATCTAGTACCCATTCATCTCCATTCAACTCAATTAAACCAATCAAACCAAAGCGCCATCTATCCAATCTATCAACAATGCCCCAAGAATACAAACTAAAAGACATCTCCTCCTTCGCATCCCTCAACTCTCTAGACAAGACTGAGGCCGAAATTGAAGGCATTGAAGATGGGAAAGTTCTCCTCGTCAAGCTGGACGATAAAGTTCATGCCCTAAGTCCGCGGTGCACGCATTATGGAGCACCGCTGAAAAATGGTGTCGTTACTGGAGATGGAAGGCTTACATGTCCCTGGCATGGAGGTGAGTTTTCTCTTTGTTTAAATCTCTCATTTTGTTCAATCAAAAGGAAAGAACAAATAACTAACAGCATACCATATATGCAGCCTGTTACAATGTCAAAACTGGCGATGTTGAAGACGCCCCAGCTCCCAACGCATTGAACAAGTTTGAAATCTTCGAAAGAGAAGATGGTGTATACATCCTTGCTAAAGAGGAAGATGTCAAAGCAGGACAGCGCAATCCAGTTGTGAAATGTAGCGTGTCAGAGCCCAAGGAGAAGGTGGTTGTCGTTGGAGGGTAAGTCAGACTTTCTTTTTTTTTTACCTCATCTTGCACATTTCACGTGATATATTTCACTTGTCGGTGTGTATGTGCGGATGGGCGGGCATTTGGCCAAGCGGTTGTCGTTGTCGTTGGCGACTTGTTGGAAACAAACCGCTTGTTTGGAACCCGCCCATCCTCAACTTGAGTGCCGCTTGATCTCGAGTTGCCGGATCGCCTCCGGGCGATGACTTTTTTATTTTTTGACTTTTTTTACGGGATGCTATTCAAGTTACTCCTCATTGCTTCTCTGCTTCCCAGTGCCTACACAATGTCTACACAGTGCCCTCAGTGCCTACTATGCACATGTTTCTACATTTCCTCCCATTCAGATAATTACATACCCACACTAACACCAAACAGAGGAAGTGGAACTCTTGGCCTGATTCAAGCTCTCCGCGAGCTGAAATACCCCGGGTCGATTACAATCATTTCCCAAGAGCCCGATCTAATCATAGATCGAACCAAGCTGTCCAAAGCTTTAATCACAGACCCTGCCAAGATCCAATGGCGTCCACGAGAGTGGTACGCCGAAGCTGCCATAGAAACTATCACAGATGAAGTGACAGCCGTGGACTTTGACCAGAAATCCATTTCCACCAAATCTGGTCAGAACATCTCCTACACCAAACTGGTCCTGGCAACAGGCGGCATCCCACGCAGACTCCCACTGCAAGGCTTCAAGGGCGAACTAAACAACATCTTTACCCTCCGCACAATCCAAGACGTGCAGTCCATCCTCACAACCGCCGGCCAAGAAAAAAGAAACATCGTGGTAATCGGCAGCTCCTTCATCGGCATGGAAGTCGGCAACGCACTCTCAAAATCCCACAACGTAACAATAGTAGGTATGGAAACCTCCCCAATGGAGCGCGTAATGGGCACCCAAGTCGGCCGAATCTTCCAATCCAACCTAGAAAAATCCGGCATTAAATTCAACCTCTCGGCAAACGTAAGCCACGCAACACCATCCCCCTCAAACACCAACACCGTCGGCGCAGTCCACCTCAAAGACGGAACAGCCCTCCCATCCGACCTCGTCATCCTAGGCGTCGGCGTCCGTCCAGCAACAGACTTCCTCCGCGACAACAAATCCATAACCCTCGAAAAAGACGGCTCAATCAAAACAACCTCCCACTTCCTCGTGCCAGGCCTGCAAGACTCCGTCTTCGCTATCGGTGATATAGCAACATACCCCTACCACGGCCCTGGCGCTGACGCCGGCGGTTCGCCAGTCCGCATCGAACACTGGAACGTCGCGCAGAACTCGGGACGTGCGGCTGCGCGTGCCATCGTGCATGCCCGGCGTGCTCCGCTGTCATCTTTGAAATATAAGGCGTTTATTCCGGTGTTTTGGTCGGCGCTTGGGGCGCAGTTGAGGTACTGTGGTAATCCGGTTAATGGGTATGATGATGTTGTTTTGCAGGAGAAAGGGGAGGCTAAGTTTGTTGCGTTTTATACGGCTGGGGACACCGTTGTCGCCGTTGCTACCATGGGGGTTGATCCGGTTATGGTTAAGTCTGCGGAGTTGATGAGGGGTGGGAAGATGTTGCGGAAGGGGGAGATTGTTGGTGGTGCGGATGTTTTGACTGTTAAGTTGTGATATGAATGAATGGATATTGGGATATGATAGGGGGGTTGAAGTTTGGATACTAATCATTAGGATAGGTTGTCGGAGAGTAATAGTTTGAATCAAGTGTGTTTTATCTTTAAAATGTTCAATTGGCATATACACATTCGAATTCGAATCGGAAAATAAGAACAAGCAAACCGGAACGCCCATCCAGGATGTAGTCAACAGTGATGATGTATGATATCGGTGCTCATGCAGACATGTATACAGAGCGAATTTATTCGTCCTTGCTCTTCGACTTGGAAGACTTGGACTTCTTTTCTTTCTTCTCGGTCTTCTCGGTCTTCTCTTTCTTTTCCTTCTTTTCCTTCTTCTCCTTCTTCTCCTTCTTGGGGCTGGCATCAAGATGCACATCCACAGTCGAGAGCTCCTGCACCGTCGACGCCGCCGGGACGTTCATCACGGGGACAGACCCAGAGACCTTCTGAGACGCCGGGAAGAAAGACGGAGGCAAAGACTGTCCCTGGCGCTCAGACTCAGAGAGCCTCTCCTCCTCCTCGACAGAAAGCATAGTTCCCTCAATACTGAGGAACCCACGATCGCGCTCAGAGCCGGGAATAACATCCACGTCAACAACACGGAATCGCACAGATCCACTCACACGGTGTCCAGAAACAGACTGGAAGTAACCGGTGTGGGCAGACTCATCGTCCTCCTCAGCGTTAATCGCGATCTCCTCCTCGGAAAGCGAAGCAGGCTTGAAACATTCCTTCTCGGCGTCGAAATCCGCCATATCCTTATCAGAGCCTGAGTCGTCATCGGTCTCAGCCGGCGTCTCAGCCTCCTCACCAGGCGGAACCCATTTCCAGTTCGAGGGCAGACGCTTGCGCTCAACGCCGACAGAGAACAAATTGAATACCACAGCACCGAGGAATCCCTCCGACTGCACATTCACCCATCCGTCAAGGGTCTGTCCGCGCTTCGGCCGGAACATCAGGAACGTAGCAGTCAGATAGACGTACAAGACACCGTACTCGTCTGCTGTTGTGGCGAGTGTAAGCGGCTGCGGATTCAGATCCGAGGAAGCGCGGGGATGAGCCGGCGGCTTGCTGGAGATCGAGGCATTGGAATAAGCCAAGACCACGCCCTTCAGCGGGGGAAGTAGGTCAGGAGCAGTGGCGAGAGATGCTCAGCCAGCAGCGAGGCCAGCGCGTGCGTCGGCGAGATGGAGATGGGCGACAGGGGCAGGTAGAGGGTTGCTGTTGTGAGGGTGAAGGGGGACTCGGGGGTTGAGTCTTGGGTTTGTGGAGTTTTTGAGGACGGGGCTTGCTTTCGCTTTTTGGATGGTGATGCGGATGGGGATGCGTCCTTTTTGGATTTACGTTTGCGCTCTGCGTCCGCTGTGCGCATTGGCAGGTTGTCGATTTCCATTGCGTCAATTGCCATCGTGGAGGCAATTTGGGCGCTCCACGGAGCTTGTCGGGTCGATGTGGAGGGATTGAAGTGCTTCTTTTTTTCCTTTGGGCGTCGAGAACTTTTTTTTTTCATTTGGCTTTTGGTATGACGAGAGGGGAAGGCGGTGGGGCAGGGCGGTGACGGGGTGGGACTATTTGGGGAATTGCTCTTTGGGGGTCTTATTGTTGTAAACGCCAAGTGGCGCTTAGACGATCTATCTTTTATCTTTCTGGTTTTTTTGTTTGCTATGGTGCAGCTGGGATTATCCAGTTGATATTGATTTACTCGACATGGCGTCGCTTTTGCCTTTCTTCGGATGGGCTTTTCTCCCCAATGTGAGTGGAGCGCGATGCGGAGCTATACAACACGTGGAATGAAAGCTGATACGAATGACAGTATGCCACATCATTCCTACAAAGTGTCTACTATGGAATAACCATACGCGCGGGCGAACCCAAGCCACTCCCTCAGACCCCGCGGTATGAGCGCCATCGTCGCCGTATCTTCATCTTCGTGATCACCAGCTACCTCCTCTACACGCTTTACGAGACCTTCTACCAGGTCCAGCTGGCAGGCGATTACTACCAAGCACTAGGTGTATCTCCATTTGCCGATGAACGCGCAATCAAGTCGCGATTCCGCCGGCTCGCAGCTCAATATCACCCCGATAAAGTCGGGCTGGACAGCGGGTCCGATGCTTACTTCCTGTACCTTCGACAGGCGCAGGAAACCTTGGTGGACCCAGTGAAGCGATTTGCGTATGACCGGTTCGGGACAGCTATGCTCGGATGGGGCGAGCAGAAAACCATGCGCGACTTCCTGATGACTTCGTTGGTCAAGTCGATTGTCCCGCAGTATATCGGCGGGTTTATCACAATGCTTGTGCTTAACTGGCTATGGTGGGCGAATTGGGGTCGTTACGTGAGTGCACAATATAAATTACTGGAAGAGTTTCAATTGTTTCAATTGCATAAGCTGACTCCGTTGTTAGTGGCGGTTCTACACGTTCGCCGCAATGCTGACCCTCGAACTCGGCTTGATTACGCACCCGCAGGCTGTGTTCATGCCTACCACATACCTTCCTATGACGCTACAAGCTTGGCTCCCTAAAAATTCATTCTACCTCCTCCCCTTCCAGATCCTGACGCTAGCACGCCGCGCCTCCATCATGTTGCACATTTTCATCTCACAAGCCGCACCGCCCACCGCCAAAGTTGCCGGGAATGGGAATGGGACCGATAAGATATCGCCGCAGACTGTGCAACGGATCGGCGAGTTGATCCAGTTGACGCGCAGTACGGATATGGAGGCGACGCGGACGCTGCAGATGGGTCTGGCACCTTTCCGTGGTGACCGTGAGAGTGTATCAACACTCCGGCGGGGTATGAAGGAAGGGCTGATTCTCGGCGGGGTACGATCCAGTCCTGAGGTGCAACGTGCTGTGGCACAAGTGGTTGAACGCCGCAAGGCCGAGAGTGATAGTAAGCACGATTGATTGGATTTTCAGGTGTAGACTTGAAACTAGAGGTTAGATGTATATTTTACATTCTTTTCATGATATTGTATCCATGAATTCTTCGTAAATCGACAAAATGTATAGTTTATTTTGTGCTTTATTCTGGACGATCCCTTGGCAGTCGCGTAATTTGGGAATTCTTTTGGTTCACCCGTGGACTAATCGAAGTTTCCGTACTTTGTAAGGGGCTTTGTGAGAACATTGAAGACTCGTGATACTCTCACCAGATCTATTGAGAATGGGTCCACCTGGACTTGATCTCAAAGAGATGTGAGGATTCTCTATTTGTAAAAGACTTAAAAGAAGAAAAAAAAAAAAGAGCATATCTCTCTCGACATCATGCGGTCAGTAAGTTATTTTCGGGATGCAGCGGGTGGAATGAGATCCATCAACGGGTTAGGGTTGGTGGTCAGACTGTTGGTTTTCTGTCTACACCCAGATGATCTCGATGACCTAGATGACCCTGAAGATGTTGAAGATGTTTCAGTATTCAATTCAAAATTAAACACAAGAAGTTCGAGAAAGAAAGAAGAGAAGAAGAAAAAAAAAAAAAGAAATGAAGTATATCAGTAATATGGTATTGTATGTATTGTATTGTCATAATTCAGTATTAAGGTCTCCCTCGTTGGTCCCTCGTTAGTTCCCAAGTTTGTAACATTCGAAAATGACCGTACAAGGCCGAAGTCCACACCTTCAACATATCCCCCTGTGCTTCACCTTGAATGAGTTTTTCTACGATGAGAGGGCCCACGATCCCTTTTTTACTTCGCCCCTTCCTTGTTTTTCCTTTTTTCCTTTTCCTTTTTCCCTTCCCCTTCCCCCCATCTTCTTCACTCCGGACTATGCTATCGACTACACATACTACTTCTTCTTCTACATCTATAAGAGACGGGCGGTAGAGAGAGAGACACACACCACGTCACGGTGAATTGCCTACACTTCCGTCACCAGAAATTCCCCTCTCGACCATCCAACCATATCCGGTACCTTCGCGCAATACCCAACCACCCCCATCATCATCATCATCATCCATCATGCCCGCCGCCACTCCAAATGGTCGCTCTCGCGCTGGAGCCAAGAATTCATCCAACTCCTTGATGGTGGTTCTCAAGCTATCTGGGGGTACTCTCCAGCAGTTCGCCAGCCCTAAGATTAAGCTTAGTCAAAATAATACCACTAACATTAAAACCAACGACAACTCATCACCAGCTTCATCCGCCGAGCTTCTTCCTGTCCGTCCATCTTCTGCCGACAATGGCTCCGACGCCGACGCCATTTCTACACCCGCCACAGGGGCAAATGGAGGTGATACACCGCGTCGGAAGGGAGTTCCGGGTCCCAAGCCTGGCAATAAAAGAACAAAAGAACAAACCGACCCTACTGCCAAGTCACGGGGACGCCCTGGCCCCAAGAAGAAACCTAGACTGTAAGTAAACCTGACACACGCTCCAATGCAGCATCACAGTGCCAGGAGAAAAATCAATTAAATACTAACATATCATCTATCTTAGTGAGGAAGGCGATGCTACGAAAATCCCGGCCGCACAGCGCCTGGGACCAAAAGCCAATACGGGAGCCATCAATGCCGGTCTACGCGCACTAGACCGCACCGGAGCCGCGTGTCGCAGATGGGAGCGTAAACCCCTACAGCTACGCAGCTTCACCGGCATTATGTGGCAACTCCCATCCTGGCGCACACCCAGTATGTCCAAGTCCGATGACTCGACCGATGGCCAGGTCTCAGTGATGCGAAGTGGCGACAGCGATACCAAGCCCACACTCCATGCCCCCGGCACCGATACGGCCAATGGCAGCAGTGCAGTGCCTAGTGAGAAGAGCAACTCTGGAGATGGTGATATCACCCCTGCTTCTCATCTCGTGGAGCCCTCGTCGCCGGCCATTGCTATGACAGCTTGAATATGAGTGTGACGAGTCCGGATGTGGGTTTCGTGCTGTACTTATAGATTTCGCATGACTTTCGTTTCTTTTCCTTTGGGTTTTATGTCGGATCTGGATTTGGCGTCGGTGGGAAGTGTTTATGGCTAATGGCTTTTCTCTACGAAGGGCTTGTTTTTATTTTTTTATGTTTATTTTATATGTGCACGGGGTTGTTAGCCGGGGATCTGGCTTATTTCACTGGGTATTTGTGTTTTGTATCATAGCCCTTTTCATCTTCTCTTTTGCTGTTTATCAGCTATGTTTCTATCTGCTCAAGGATCTTTGCTCTGGGAGCATAACGCAGTTAATTTCGTTCAAGTTCTGGTTATACTCGATGGTATAGGGCTATATACTTGGATCTATCCAGGTACCTTAGTACTTGGAAGTATACATCTGAACAAAGTCCTTGTCTGCCCGACTCCTAGTAGTACAGTAGCCGAGCTTTTCCTTTCCAAGTCCACATCAGCTCGTGACATTATACTCTTCTCTCCCCTCTTTTCCTTCTTATCCCTACTCCGTGTAATATCCGGATTCCGTTTTCCCCGCAATCTATGCTTGAAGAGGATTCGTGATTTCTTCTCTAGTTATTTCGCTATTACTAGGTTCTACACAGCTTTTTCATTATAGAATCTTGGATCTCACGGCTTCGTATTACTCTTTCGACATAATAGTGAGGTCGCGACGTGGTAAGATCTGCTGCTTTCGGACCTGTCAGGCAACACTTACCGTGAACGTCTTGTTTCCACGCATTATTTTACTTATCTTTTTACTTTCCACGCACTTTTGTATCCGAAACAGATCTTATTACCACGCACTTTGCCCACTTTGGCAGTGACTTCGACACGACCACGTACTTGAGAGGTTGCTATCTCCACCCGCACTTCAGACTACTACAATGGTTAACACTTACCACCACGCACTTACAGTACCCCCTCAACCTTACAAGTCAAACGAAATCAACGAAATCAGAAGTGTGGATCTCCAGCCAAAAGCCAGAAACAAACACGAACGCAGAAAACGGTGGCCTTGATTTCATGGCATCATTTGGGGGGCGACCCGCGAACATCATGGCCGATGCTCCTTTCCCCCATCCGGTGGAGCTCGAGCTCCAACCTCATACCCCAGCATCCCCTCCATCCCACGCCGTTCCTCCTACGCCTCCGTATTATCTGGCAACGCATTTCCCCCAATCTCTAGTTCCTTTTCACATCTCCTTAACGACTCCCACCCAATCTTCTACCCCCCGTCCGACAGCCGAGTCCACCGGGCTCCGTTCGGCGTGGATGCCGCAGACATGCACATGAACTCCGCCTGGAGAAACACAGGTTCAACAGAGTCACTTCCTCCCTGGTCTCGTAAATATGCCGGCTTTCTACGCTCGGTCGAGTTTCCGCACGGTCTAGGCCTCACCGACATCCCGACCTTCCTCACCCCATCCTACCTCCGCAACTCCCGCTACATCGCCCGTCTCGAGACTGCTCACCGCGCTAAGACCGCTACCCAACAACGAGACCCCTCATCTGCAACATCCAATCCTCCTCTCTCCGCCTCGTCCAGCAATGTCCATTTGCCCCGCATCGCCCCGTCGCACCGCGGCATGACATATGATATCATAGAGAAAGAACCGCCCGCCCCGGCCGATCCCCTCATGCCGTTGCCCAGTCAGTGGAGTTCTGTAGACAAGTTTTCCGGCCTGGAATTGTCCAACGAGAACTTCGATGTGCGCTACACTGGTCCTATGCACAAGCATGACCATGAAGCTGCCGCCTTGCGCGCGGATCACCCGATGCCGCCGCAGTGCGGGATCTATTACTTTGAAGTGAAGATTGAGTCGAAGCCGAAGGAGGGGTATGTGAATCAGCTACTCGGTGGATATTGGATTGTCGAAGTTGACTGTTTTTTTCTAGCATGATCGGTATTGGGTTTTCTAGCCCCAAGGCGTCTGTTGAGAGGCTGCCCGGTTGGGAGACAGAATCATGGGCTTACCATGGCGATGACGGAAAGTCATTTTTCGGCGAGAGTCAAGGACAAGGTCGAGCATATGGACCGACTTTTGGTGCTGGTGATACAGTCGGATGTGGTGTCAATTTCTCTACCGGATCTGCATTCTTCACTAAGAACGGGGTTTTCTTGGGTAGGTTTTTGTATGGGTCGTAGTTGCATATCTGAGGCTAACATTGACAGGAAATGCGTTCCACGATCTGCGCAGTACGAACCTTTTCCCGTCCGTCGGAATGAAGAAACTCCCGCCAGTACATCTCAAAACGAACTTTGGACAGGAACCTTTCGTTTTTGATATCGATGGCATGGTCAAGGTTTGTGCTGTCTGCATTACACACTCGGAAGATTTCAAGCTAATCCTCACCAGCAAGAGAGATTCAACGTTCTATCAGAGATTAACGAAACATCCACGGCTGGCCTCCAACCGCCGTTGGACGAGTCGACACTTTTGCAAGAGTTAGTTGCGCAGTTCCTAGCCCACGATGGTTACGTAGACACGGCCCGTGCATTCGCACAAGAGGTGGCCACCGAAACACTGGCCCTGCAGAACGGCCGCAACGAGACACTGAAGAAATACGAGGTCGAGGAAGACTGCGAAGCCATCAACCGGAACAGTAAGTCTTATACCTCTACATTCCTCCCAGCGCCAAGCCCCCACTGACAGCCCATAGAAATCCGCTCCGCAATCCTAGATGGCGACATCGACAAGGCCCTCAAACTCACCAAAGCCTACTATTCCAACGTCCTAGAAGACCACCCACAAATCCACTTCAAACTGCGCTGCCGTAAATTCCTCGAAATGATGCGACGCTCCAACGAACTCTCCGCGGCAACCGCCGCGAAGCGCCGGGACTCGACATCCTCCAACTCGCACGAGCACGCCGTCTTCGATCAGGAGATGGAGCTCGACGACGGGGATGGAGATAACTGGGCTGTGGACGGCATGGACACTGAAGATCCTGAGGTCGTCGCGCAGTTCAACCAGCTCCTCACTGAGGCAGTGCAATATGGCCAGCAGCTGCGTGCTGATTATCCTACGGATGAGAATGGCGGCGATAAGAAGCTGCTAGATGATATCTTCTCATTGGTGGCTTATCCTGATCCGAAAAGGTCTGTGCATGGCCATTACCTCGATGCCGAGGGGCGGGTGGCTGTGGCTGAGGAGTTGAACTCGGCTATTCTTGGTATGTTACTTGGGTCTATTTATTCTGTTTCTTTGTTTATATTTTCTTTGTTGATATTTGCACTTGCAAGAAACAACGCTAACACAGCATTGCATAGTCTCATTGGGCAAATCATCTGCTGCTGCACTGGAAAGGCTATATCAGCAAACTGAAGTACTGGTTAACGAGATCAGTGAAGACGGTGGCGCTGGGGCGTTTATTAATATTCGGGATGATATTCTGCTTTGATTGGCGCTGGTTAGGATCTTTTCGTTTCTTCATTGATGTTCCTTTTTCTGTGAAAGGAGCTACCGATCCCCGATGTTTCATGTTGATTTACTTCTACTTTGTTGACTCTCTGTTTCTTTTTGCCCCAGTTTCCTTTTTTTGTCAGATTAACTTCTACGTATCTCTTAGCCAGAATGATGAATCCGTTAGGACTTTTGAATGTTCACTAGTGACTTGTTCCCAATTTTTGTTCGTCTAATTAGGCTTGAATATATCTTCCTCCCTAACTTATTATAATAACACCCTTTCAGCTCCTTGCCTCCGTACTAATAGGATAGTTGTGTCCAATTAGGGTATGACGTCAATTTCATCTCTATACTTCGAGGCGGTGAAACATAGCAATATCAAAGCGGTAAGGCCTCGAACACCTGGAGGCTTATCTCATCCCAGCTGAATTCGGAGATCTCCGCTTTCTTCAAATCAAATGGAGTCTGATATTTGATAGTCTGTGATACCTCGAAGCTGCAAGGTTCTCTGATGATCAGGTCCTTCCAAACACTCAGCTCCCCAAGGGGCCACATTCTTAATGGATCCTCCACATAGCGCTGAGATTCTCAGCATCCCTACCCATTCCAGCGGTTCTACCACCTTACGCTGCTGCTGTGGCCGCAATGATTGTGCTTTACTAGAGCATAACAATGTAGCTCTCGAGGGCTTGGAGAAGGATCTGGAGACTGCCGCTAGGCTAGGTCAGGTACGTATCTTGTTCGAATATAGCGGCCCAAAAATGATGTGCTGTTGGTTGGGTATAACAAGACGCCAAGCTGTTCCTCGGCTGGCTGAGCCATGCATGTTTGATACATCAATTTATCATTCCTCACAGCACACTTTGTATCTAATTTCTTTTCCTCTACCCCCGCCCTCCCCATTTATACCACCCGGATAGCGCATTCTGCATACCTTGTGTCGACCCACTTCATTTGGAAGATGGCCTCCCTCAGATCACGATCTCCTATTCTCTCACATTGTGTTGGCGTCCGTCATGGCTACCTTTCATGATTATACTGCTCAGGCAGCATCTTTTGAGGCATCATCACTGACTTTTGCCCTACAGGCCTTGCTCCACCGTCATGAAAGTTATATGGCTGAAGCGGAAGAGGACCGTCATCGGTTGGTCGACAACATTGACGATCTCGAGCGAGAAAAGCAACAATTCCAAGCAGAAAATGCCCGCATCATCGAAGAGAATCGTAATTTATTGGAGCAACTTGACAATTTGAATCAAGCGGTCGCCGAGTCTGACGACCATGTCAAGTCCCTAACTAGAACGCTGGAGAGTACCGAGTTTGAGTTGCGAAGATTGACAGCGGCTGCAACGCGTGCCGCAGAACTCGAGGCCCAACTAGCTCTCATGGAGACAGAACAGTCTAAGCTTCAAGAGAGCCTTGTGTCAGTGCATGAAGACGAGAAATCCGCCGTCCAACGGTGGAAACAAGCAGAAGCCACCCTGCGAGACCTCCATGATCAAGTCGACCGCATTGAGAAAGAGGCACGCGAGGAGAGGGATCGACATACAGACATCGTCCAACGCATGGAGCGCAAGAGAGCTGTGGAGCGCGAGCTGGACAATGCAGCGGGCCGTCTTAAAGGTGCCGCTGCCGCCTCCGAACTCAACCGCAACGCTGGTGGTACAAACGTGGTCTCTCGTTTCGTCAAGGACATATTGCAAGACAACGCCAATCTGCAGGTCGGGATCATAGAGCTACGTGACATGCTTCAGAGCTCGAATGAAGAAGTACAGAATTTACGGGAACAGGTTATCTCTCATCAGCCGCTGGCCGGCATCGATGAGGAGGACAATACAGAGCCAAGGCATTCGACCACGCTGAGTGAGGAGCTACAAGCGAAGGAAAAACGACGTATATCTCAGGAATTACACATTCACCATCATTTCCACACACCAAGTCCAGCTCCAACTACGAAGAAAGAGAAAGGCACGCTCAGCCGTCGCGTGAAGAAACGCCGCCCCGCTTTGGGGAGCTCGGTAACAATGCACTCTGCGGCACGGGCACAATCGCCCCGAAGAGCCCCTCATCGCTCCCAGTCATCTGGATCCTCTATGTCAACCATTCTGTCGCAGACCTCGGTATCCATCCCACCGCATTCATCCTCCCGCCGCTGGTCCTCACAATCACATGCTCCGGACTCGCTGGCAAGCTCTCCTCGGTCCGCGTTCCGGACGTCATCGATATTTGATCGTGTTGAACGTGGCGCCGATTATTCTGAGCCTACCAGCCCTGAAAGCACTGTGTTCTCTTCGCCTTTTATGCAGGCACGGAACCTGAAGGGTCTTGATATACCGTTCCGGCCAATGGATGGATTTGATCACCATGATGCACCCGACGAACTATCCGCATATGAAGATGATCTCTACAGCCGCCAAGACTTCTCGAACATGGGCGATAATGCCACAAGAGAGCCAGCTATCCCAGAAGAATCGGAACCATCACCATCGGTAGCATACTTCCCACCTATGGGTGAGTCACTGACGACCACCGACGACATTTTTACCATGCATGTACAGCCTTCCTCCTTGCGCAGATCTTCTTCTCATGACAGCTTGCTCTCCGTCTCCGTTGCTGGAATGGACATTCATACACCCACCAGTCGCCACAAGCGAATGGGCGACTGGCATCCCGGCATGCGGATTCCTCAACGCATCTTGTCACCCAGTGTCGAACTACTATCAACACCCCCTGTGATTTCAGCCCCGGCCATCACAGCCAATCGTGCAGCGAGCTCAGAACACACATCCCAATCATTGCTTGCTTCCATGGCTGCCGGGAACCCAACCAAGTCCGATACAGCATCTATAGTATCCACAGACAGCACTAGCACCAGCTCAACCTCAACCCTCGGGCCTCGCAAGACTATGACGCTAGGTCGCCGCATGGGAGGCTGGGTCCTAGGCCGCTGGGGCGTGGCACCGGTTTCTGCCGACAATGACTCGCAAGATCCGACAAACTCATCAACCACGTCTGTGGCATCGTCACCTCCTACATCTACACCTACACCTACGCCCAAACCAATTGACCCGCTCGCTCTCTGCTTCAGATACCCAGGTGTGAACCAGAAGGGTCCGATAATGGGACTGCGGCCTCCACCTCCTGCTCCGATCTCAATTCATGCAGAAAGCATAGACGAAAACCTGCTGCGAGAGAGTCTAGCTGAATAGAATCGCTAGATTCCTCGCAACTTAAATACCTGCACTTTAATCATTGGTTCTTTAGCGGCTACGCTCGTTTTAATCTTGCATTTATTATTTCTTTATTTTTACTTTTGCATACTGCTCTCACGGTTTTGTTGCATTTCTTGGATTCCTGGTTTGGAATGGCGCGAGTTGCGATGATACCCATGCTTTCATCTTTCATTTCCTAACCTACCTAGATGATACCATGTGCACTCTTTGGTCCTTTCCCAATGTATGTTCTAGATAGGATCCTGTGTCTTGGACTTGACTTCATTGAGTACCTCAATACCATTGGAGTTTTACCCATCGAGAAGATCGAGTTTAACAATTTTGCATAGAGTTCCCTCAGAGCTAGTTATAAACAGTAGCAACAAGTTTTATGCAATCACTAACTTTTGCATCATTTGCATGATATCACATTCTCTATTCATATTCATTACCTCGTGATGTAAACGCAGTTCAAGTGGCTGCTTATTTCGTCCGCGAAATCCGATACGTCCGGATTGGAATGCTGGTCGAATGGAAGAAACCGGTCTGGTCTTCTGATGGTGTGGATTCGAACGGGAGGGTTTCAACAGCGAATGAGTTGGTTTCTGTGTTGTTTAGCGCTGCATAAGTCATAATCATCAACGTTGTGTTGTGTATGGAAGTCAAAACTCACCACAGGCATTCAAGAACGTGCGGAAGGTATGCTCATTGCGTAAAGTCGCAGCAATGATAAATTCTTTAATGTGGTAGTTCTCGAAAAGATCCCGCACAGTAGACAGGAGTAAGGGAACAAGATCGGTATCATAGATCTAAACATGTAAGCATGAAAACATGAAAACCAGGTAAACATAACAGCCCATAAAAACACCTACCAGATCAGCACCGAGAGCAACATCAAACCTCAGCCCAGTCCCCACTTCACCCTCACCCTCATCAGAACCCAACCCAGCAAGATCCCCCTCCCTCACCAACGGAGTCCCCCACTCCCAAACAGCAGGATAAATAGGAATAGACTCGGACCCATTCAAATTATGTCTGACACAATCACGAATATTATCAATAAGCGCCGGTTCACGATCAGTAACAACAACAGAGCGCACTCCAAGATGGCGCGCACAAACAAGCGACAAGAAGCCCGTGCCAGCACCGAGTTCGATAACACGCTTGTCGCGCACAAGAGCCTCGCCCGCTTCAGACGCCAGGAACGAACCGAGGTGCAGAGCAGCCTCCCATGTTCTATTTCCGGTGGTTCCAGCGGACAGAATCAGGCCGCGGGATTCAGAGGTCGTCACAGTGCGCTCCGGGCAGGTTCCCGTGCTGGAACTGCATTTTGGTGCTGTGTACTTGACTAACGAGAGCTGCTGCGCTTGTTGCAGGGCTGAGGGTTTCGGCTGGGAGACTAGGGTGCTCCAGCTTTCCATGAGATCGTCGTTGATCTCCTGTGGTCGTGGGAGGGAAGAGGTTAGATAAATGGAACATCAGGGAATGTAAAAAGTGGGATTTGGTTTTGCATTGGTGTCGGTGGATGTACATAGGATAGAAAAGGAAAAGATAGGAAGTTTAAATGCAAATGCAATGCAAAATGCAACATGTAAAACAAAAGGATTTAAACAGGTGGGTAAGCATACATCCTCCTCGGGGTTGGTAATTGATTCCTCGATGCGCGAGAGAATCTGTTTCAGCACTCGGCTTCGGTAGCTGTCTGGTGGGATAGGGAAGACGGCATTTTCGTTGAACATGCGCTCGTACAAGGCTGCTTGCACGGCTGGCTGAATCAGCACAGGGCCAGGTGGGAGGGCCAAGTTCTGCAGCTCGACCAGCTGGAAATATTGCGCTGCTAATTTGTCAATGGAGTCGGTCATGGTTGCTGAATGCACCATAGTAATGAATTTGATATCGGAGATCAATGCGGCAGATATCATTGGAGCCCGGGCGAAAAGAGTGGATGAGTCAGGAATGAGATAAGCAAGGGCTGATCAACACGTTCCGCCTCTGGCAGAATATTGCCTTAGTCATTAAAGCCTGAGGCAGATACCCTATTTAGGCTAGCGTCTACCCTAGCCGAGCCCACACCACACGAAAATTGAAAGTTCGACATCCTCAGAGACCCCGTCGACACTTCCTCCATCCAACGCACACACCAAAATGGCCGACTCTCCCGTCACTCTGCGGACTCGCAAGTTCATCCGCAACCCTCTGCTTGCCCGCAAGCAGATGGTCGTGTAAGAACCCCCCTGATTTTCCCCCTCGTTTTGGATCTGTGTGTGGGAAATGCATCGCAGGCGCGCAACATTGAAATTCGACAACCACCCAGCACAAGAAAGAGAAGGACGAATACAATCGGAACTCGCAATACACACACAGAAACAAGCATCGAAAATCCAGAAAACATCGATCTGACATCTTTTCGCGAATATCTAGGGACGTCCTCCACCCCAACCGCCCCAACGTCTCCAAGGACGAGCTCCGTGAGAAGCTGGCCGACCTGTACAAGTCCAACAAGGACCAGGTCTCCGTCTTCGGTTTCCGCACACAGTACGGTGGTGGTAAGAGCACCGGCTTTGCTCTGGTCTACGACTCCTCCGAGGCCCTCAAGAAGTTCGAGCCCCACTACCGTCTCGTCCGTATCGGTGCCGCCAGCAAGATCGAGAAGGCTTCCCGCCAGCAGCGTATGTTTTTTCTTCCTCGTCTTTGCGATTATCAATCGCAAGAAACATATGTCCTTTTTTTTTTTTTGCTAACCCCCTTTCCCTCCTACAGGCAAGCAACGGAAGAACCGTTCCAAGAAGTTCCGCGGTATCGCCAAGACCAAGGGCCCCAAGAAGAACAAGGATTAAACGCCTCATCTGTAACTATTCGCACGATTCAACATGGACCGATGATGCGGCATGGCGCGATGGAAAAGATTATGGCGGTGACGGCTTTGGCTCTGGAGTTTCCCACCTGGTTATGGTTTGTCCGGACCCGGGTGCGGTCGGTCGTGTGTGGGGGGAGTGGTTTATCTTCCTTTTCAGCGAACATCAGACTAAAATCCAAAATGATGCCCGTTGAATGGTGAAGATCGTGGACGGATACTCTTTTTTCTTCCTGTGCTTGTTGGAGCTGGTGATTCCCAAGAGAAAAAAAAAAGACCTGGCGATCCCCATGGAAATTTACAAACAGGGCGTCAGTGTTATGGTTCTTTGTGTGTATGTTTTTTTTGGGGAAGGGGATCATCAGTCTTCGTGAAGACGGCCGGGGTTTATGAGAATCCGGGCTTCGGCTGTTTGCCCGGGATGAAATTACATTTTACTTGTTTCTCTTCACTCGGTCTGGCGGTCTTGTAGCTGTACTTGTACTTGTACTTGCACATGTTTTGTACATTTGTACGGGGCCATGGATCCTCTGGTGTAGTTGGATCTGCAGACCGTAGCCTCAAGACCCTCTGCGGCGTAGTCTAGGCTTAGTCTATCAAGCCATGTTCTATACTTCAATGCGGAGTATATAGTTTACACAATGAACCATGTCTAACTCGATTGATATTGCTTATATCAACGCAACTATATCAAATACACAAAGCTAAAGAGTGAATGATCATGACAGCCCTTTGGCCCCCATGACCCAAAAGCCCAATCTGATCCCCCAAAACCTCTATCACAGCCAATTCCTTCCCCGTCCAAGCAGATAATCTGTAAAGCCAGCGGTGTACTCAATACGGACCAAGAACAATACGCCAAGCCAATATATACCCAGCGACATTCCATGCCACCTGTTCTATTCTATCCGAATTGAGAAGACAGGGGTATGATAGTCTTGCGTATCCGCTCCAACTTGGGGGAAGAGGGTTTCAATTGTCATCATCTCGACAGTAGCAGATGCATCAAAAATGTGGAGTATTATCTCACCATTCCCTCTGTTCTTCAAGAGAAACCTTCTAAACCTTCTCTATGTGTCCGGAAACGTGGACATCGTTAGAATCCTTCGATGGCAGGGGAACATTCAGACCACTGTACGCTAGTGGCGAATCGAATGTGTATGTGTGTGCTGGTCCAAGGGCGAGATCATAACCACGACCTTTCAGTTCCCAACCTTCACGCATAGATGCCAAGAAATACCGGGCTAGGCAGTAGGTTTGCACGAATACTATAAAGAAAGGTAGGATGTACACGATAGTCCCGACGGTACCTGAGGCGTGGGGAGCTTCGATATAGACAGCCGGAGGTTACAACGAATCTTCCAGATAGCTTGCATAAATTTGCCGCAATTGATGTAGGACTCACCGATCAAAGTAAGTATCCAAACAGCCGTACAACATCCGTGAATACGGGACTGATACTTTTTCGATTCTTGCTTGACATTGGGCTTAAAGAAGAGCATGCGGTAGGTGATGGTGGTATCGGTGATAGAATCCACCTTGCAGTAGTAAGGGAGTTCGGAAGTAGTATGTCGTGAAACAGACATGTTGCAGAATTTGAAGAGTTGGGTTGAGAAGAAAAGAAGAAAGAAGATGTCAAGGAGTGCCTGAAAATCCACGGGTATAACTATTCATGATGTAGTAGTTACGTTTTAGTTGTTCAACTCCTACATTAACTAATACAAAAGCTGTATAACACTGTTCTTGTAGATAACCTGAAATATTCAAGAGCAGGTTAAGTCATCAGACTTAGTTGTGATTCTGAGTATAAAATCAAATGTGGTTTCAATGACTGTCGTTCTATCTTCCTCGGAAGGGTCAGTCACCTAGGTTCTTGATGGTTTTCAGAAAACAAAACTTTCGTAGGCGTAAGTATGCTAAGCAAGCAAGTTCCTTTTGTATTTCCGAGATTTTATCTCGGAAAACATCCCGTCAATGCATTAGGTTACATAGAATAGACACTTGAAGGTTATAAGACGCCGAAGCCCTAATTTAGGGCCATTGAATGCTGGGCCATTGAAGATTCATACTAACCTGCCAAATGTTACAGCTAATCATTGCCCGAGCAATCCAACACTTGTGATTAATTAATTAATTAATGTAATAACTTTGCAATAATGGAAGTACTTCATCTAGTTGTATACAGAAAGACATAATGTCTGTCTACAGCCAACCAAGTCCCTCCATCCGACTTTTTAACCAGCAGGTACAGTACAATGCAGGGACCAACTCCCCAGACTAGATCATCAAATCTAGCATATAACATAACAAGCCCTGAACGGAACCCAGCTGAACCCAGCCACTCTTGGCTGTGTAAGTATATGCCTCGGGGGGTGGATCGCTTGTACGATGTCATAGATTACACAACCTAGAACTAGAAGTTCCCTTTCCCTTTCCTCAATATCCCCCTTTAAAATATCCATTTCTCAAATGGAAATACCACATTCCACTTCCGATTCCACGTGGACTTTTTCAAGTTAGGATACTGGTCGTCTGACTAAACGTAGATGTCGACACATACCTACCCTACTACCGTAGGATTTCTCGAGGGTATCCGGACACGTCCATGTCAGGGTTGTATACGGCATGGCCGGTTGGGTGGTTGTATCACTGCGTCCTGGTTCAGGGGGAGGCCGATGTACGGAGTTGTGTGCTACTTTATGGTTAAGTAGGGGAGAATGCTGGTGCTGGTGCTGGGGTGCAGGGCACATGGTTAGCCCTGGTTTGTGCTTTTTATTATTGGGGTTGAGTTGATGGGAGATACATTGGGATGGAGTTTATTATATGTACTGTAACTGTATTATCTGGGGGGATATGGTCGTTAACTATGAGGTTGTATATACTAGGCGTTGGATGGGGATAGTTATAGATACTCGAGTAAGGATAGATAGAGTAGATAAAAGACATTACTTTCAGATATACCATACAAAGTAAATAAGGAACTCCCTCCACGCTTTGAAGAATGACAGGAAGACACAAGACTAGAATTAATATGCTCCCCGAGTCAAGACGCCGATATCACATATCACAGACCGGAGGGTTCCTCGTAGTAACAATAGAAAATTAGACATTCCACAAGACTAAACGCACATGGCATGAAAAGAAAAAAAAGAAAAGCATATTTTTGAAACAGACATAGAACCCACATATATAAATCACTGCGTAAAGCCACTCTGGGGTATTAGGGAGTAATCTGGACAGGTGTGACAGGATGGACACCTACTAGGCCCTCCGTTGGATTTTTTTCTCTTTTGGAACAACAAAGACGACAGAAACGAGCAATCAATAAAAACAAAACAGTACAGAATAAACAGAAAAATACCAAATCGACAGCAAAACAAAAGACAGAGAGAAGACATAAGAAGACATTAAATAGGCAGAACAAAGGCAGACATAAACGGCCTTGATATGGGTATCTCTTTTGTGTATCTTGTGGGAAAGAAAGAAACCAAGCAAGAGACCAACCAGGAAAAAAAGAAGAAGAAAAAAAAAAAGAGAACAACGAAGACAGAATTCGTCAGGATATGTATATACCTCTCGTTCGGTACAACAACACCAAAAGAGATTAAAGTCAACTCAATATGCACCCTGATGACCCAACGGAGAAATAGGAGACCGATGAAGATCAACAGACCGCCCATAATCCGACAAGCCATCAGCTAAAAAACCATACGGCAACCCAACCGCCGAGTCCGAATGTCGAACACGCGTATAGGGCAAGCCATTAACAAGCGTAGGTGCCGAGCAACGCACATCACCCTCGACAAGACCCCTCGATTTCCGACGCTCACTGCCCGCATACCCATACACATCAGGGGCGCAGTCAGAAGTCAGCGTGAGCAGACGCTGTCCGGCGCTGGAATCGCGAGGAAAATTGCGTCCGGATGTGTTGTACTCGCCGAGAGGGTTCTCGATCGAGTCCAGGGCTGGGTAAGGGGGTTTGCAGCGGAGGTGGCCATGGATGAGGAGGTTGCTGCGGGGAGTGGGGAGGGATCTTCTGCTGTGGACATGGGGATGTATCCGAAGACGAGGTCGGGTGTTCCGTTGTCTGAGTCTGTTGACTTGATGCGTGTTGAGGATGAGGAGCTGATGTTGTAGTGGCCGTTGCTTGGGACGGTGGGCATGGCCACTGTCCGTCCGTCTGGGCCGGTTGCGCACCGTGAGTTCCAGCCCTTTGGATCTGTGGCTATGGTCATCCCTGAGAGTCCGTCTGGGAGGGTGGAGATGTTGGTGTTTTGCTGGGGTTGGCTTCGACAGGTTGGGGGTGTTGGGAGGGTGCGGTCTACAGCGTCTGTGTAGGCTGTCATTGCTCCTGTTGACTGGGGCATTTCAGTTGACATGGCTTGGCCTGGGAGGAGGAAGCCGTATGCAGAGTTCATGTTGGTGCTTTGTTCTTCGAAGAACTCGCCGTTGGGTCGGCCGTTGAGATCCCAGGCCCGGTTGCCCCATGTGGTGCCATAGTCGAGCATTGCTCCCTGGTTGTTAGACAGCATGTACCCTGGCAATGTCTGGCCTTGGTAGTTGGCTGCGTGGTCATCATAGGAGTGGTCCATGCCGGCGGGTCGTGAGAAGTTGGACTGGACATCCAGTTCATATTCTTCTCGCTGGTATGGAGCACGCATTTGAGGGGAGCCCATGAGAATTGACCTTCCCTGACCTTTGGTTGCATAGAGTCTAGCTGCTTCTCTGGCAGCATCTTCAGGAGCCAAAGAGTTGACCTGGGGAGCAAAAGGAAACCTAGGTTAGTGGGACTCTTTCACTGTGGATATTGTGGACTCGGACTTACTCGGATGTATTGGCATTCAGTAGCTCCAACACTACGACAGCTAGAGCAAGCCACGCCAGTGTTGAGGTCACCGTTGCACTTGATTTTTCTCTTCCGGCATCGATTGCACTAGTAGAGGGTTAGAAAATCACCGGGTAATCAAAGATGAGAGAGAGAGAGAGAGAGCAACTTACTGCGACTAGGGCTCGCTTTCTCTGTTTCCGTGGCTTTTCATCCCTCTCTACAGCAAGACTGCGTTCCTGCTTGGCCACTCGCATGGATCGAGCCATAGAAATGGTTGAGTTATGCCGGGCTTGGTCTAGTCCAGACATATTGTCGTATGTGTGATCCATGATATTGGTAAAGAACAATAACCCGATTCACTGTTCAGTAAAGTGAAGAACCTTAGAATATGCAAAAGAAAAGGTTCACAGTGAATGCCTATAAATCAATGTTGAGAAGAAGATAGAAAGTGGAAAATGGAAGAGATGTCTCTGGGAAATAGGGCTAGATTTAAGCCATGTTTTGGTAACAATCGGTGTGATTGATTGCCTTCATATTCTTTTTTTATAATATATAGACATGATGCGATATTTTTACCCCCCTGTTTTTTTTTCTTTTCTATATATTTTATTATTATTATTCTATCGATGCTGTCTGTGTGTTGAGATCCCAAGAGAAGACATACACAGTACATAGGCCAAAAGTACCCTTGACCTTGGGTTTCTTTTCTTTTTTTTCTTTTTTTTTTTTCTGGGATTTTATTCCCTATTCCTTATTTCTCTTATTTCTCTTATTGTTTTGTTTTGTTTTTATCAGTGTTTCGTGTTTCTATTCTATTATTCTATTTCCAAGTGATATGCAGAGTTCCGTCTAGATGCCCCCAGTTGGCCCTAATTGTCCCTAGTTGTCCCCGGTTATCCCCAGTTATCCCCAGTTGCCCCCAGATATGAACAGAAAATTGTCCCCCGGCGTTTTAAAAAGAGGTTTCACAAGGTAACGTCACACGGACATGACCTGATAGCCATGACGAGAACCAGCCAGAGAGGGCTCCGGTAGGTAGTGTTTCAGTCAATTTGAAGGCGCCTCTTTTTTTTTCTTTCTTTTTTTTTATATGTCTAAAAGAGGCAGTAAAGTTAAAAGTCAAGAGAAGCTGGTGTATCTCAAGATATATCCAAAGAGCTAGAGAAAATCAAACGGGCAACTGCCGAGCTCTTCTGTTTGTAGATACCTGACGATCCGCGGGGAAGTCTATCCCGATGTCCGTAAATGTTTGCTCAATAGTTTTTTGTATAGCTGCAGGTTAAAATAGTCCGAACTTCCTCGGTTGTCGAGGTCTGGAACATATGTTATCTTGCAAACGCACGGTCTTTTAGAAGAGAGAAAATAATATATAATATATAATAATGAAGAATAAAAAAACAAACACCTGTCTCAGGATGCTTCAAATGTCTCAATAGAGAAAGAGAAGAGAAAAGAAAAAAAGAAAAGAAAAGAAAAGAAAATATAGCCAAAATATCTCTTATGACACCTGTCACTTTGACAAGCGCACGAGTTGACTTCCCCGAGCCAAGCGCGCTCTATAAAAATTCCAGGGATCAACGATCTAAAAGGTTGATCATGGACATGGGGAGGGTCGATCCGAGTGTTCTTTAGCGCTTCCGGTAGGCAGCTAGCTCGAAAGGGAAAGGAGAGAAAGAGCAAATCTAGTCCATAAAATGAGGAAGGGGATATAGAGTACTTACCCAGTATATGGATTCTGATATCCATCAGATCTTGATCACAAATCGACGCTAAAGGCTAAAAAGGGGGGAGAATCTAAAAAGTGCCGACTGGGATGCATGAACTTCTGGGATACAAGGTTCACACTTTGCTACTTGGAGCTAATGTGGAGAGTGGGTTTCACATTACAGTATGACATGGGGTATAAAGAATTAAGAAGGGGGGGGGTTCCCCAATATTAGTATAGTAAATATAGTAAACCCTCATTTTAACTCACCTCAAGACATCCAGTGTCAGGACACGAGAGACAGAGAAAGAAAAATCCAAAACAGTGGGGAAGGCAATCAAAGTCGTGGTTTCAAAATATACAAATCTAGATCCCCCCGTGGAGTCTCTAGCACAAGTATTTAGACAAATGTCCGGTAGTTCAAGGTTTGACGATGCACGACATCCGGGGGAAGTGGGAAAATTACGATTCTAGAGTCAGGAGAAAGCCCTGGCTACGCCAGCTGACTCTGAGTTGACTTGCCAGGAACACATGTTGGGATTGAGACTGGCTTTTGTTGCAGACGATACGGTGGAGGCAACCCCTGGCTGACCGGAGTTTCGCTTGGAATCGAGAAGGTGAGAGAAGTCTAGACAAGAGGCTCATTCAGGATTGATCATATCCTATTCCACGTGTGTGGCTCTTTTTCAAGAAGTTAGTCTGTGATGATGATGATACCCGTTGGATCCTGCTGCAGGAGGCCGCCCGTTTCCCCTTCCCAACGTTTCTGTTGTGGAACAGCTCACGGGGGATAGTTGGTACTGGATTAGAAAGAAAAGAAAAAGGAGGACCGTGTACATCCCATGGAAAGCTGCAAGACACCATGATCTCAGTGGAGAAAGAAAGTGAAAGAAAGAGAAAAAGCGAAACAGTACAACAGGGTGGCTTGGTTCTCTCTCCAAGGATTTGGCATCCAGTCACAATCAGCCACTGTCGAATTTCTGCCAAGAGATGCTTCTTTTGGCTGGGCCTGCTGCTGCATGAGGGATATAAGCACACAAACAGTTCAAACTTGGAATCCCAGGGTCGATCAAGGCCCTTAATAAGATCCGCTGCACGTCGATCTCAAAAGCGTATGGTTATATCCATTATGTCCAACGGGGACATTCGGAAGATATGCAGCTTGATTGACAAGCACTGTAGTACAAGTCTCCCGGGTCGATCATCCGGAGAGCCCTAGAGTTGTTACGCAGCAAGTACCCATTCGTGGGAAAATCTTTGTCAAAAAAAAAAGGGAGAGAAAAAGGGAGAGAAGAAGAAAAGAAAAAGAAAAGAAAAAGAAAAGAAAAAGAAACAGAGGCTCAGTTCCCGGCGGTTGGGGGATCCCCGCGGGCGGTGATTGGTCAAAGCTCCATATTCTGACTTTCACATTCGTCTGTGTCTCTCTCTGTCGCTGTGTCTGTCTCTGTCTGTCTCTACCTCTCTCTTCGGGGCTCTTATTTCTTATTACCAAATCGGTGTTTGTCTTCTAAGGTGTCGACCAAGCGCCTAATTTGATATTTCGTACCCGATTCCCCGCCATGAGCGCGCTTTTAAGAGACCTCCCTGGGCGATATTGTAATTGACCTGTTGGTCGATGATGCACCCAAAGCGTGTGACAAGTGAGTGGCTCCATTCCTTGGCTTTCCCAATCTGCTGAAACCTGAAACTAAGCTCATTTGGTGTGCTTTTAGCTTCTTGAAGCTATGCAAGCTCAAGTACTACAATTTCTCGCCTGTCCACAGCGTCCAAAAGAACTTCACCTTCCAGACCGGTGATCCGCTCGGTCCTGACGCACCTGAGAGTGATGGAGGATCTTCAGTCTGGGGTCTGCTGGATGGACCATCGAAAAGAACATTTCCGCTCCAGGTGTCGCGCAAGTTGAAACACTTGGAACGCGGCACAGTGAGCATGGCCACGGTACCGGCCAAGAACGACCCCGACCAACGGATAGCCGCCAGTCAATTCATCATTACGCTCGGAGAAAATCTGGATTATTTAGATGGCAAGGCCGTGATTTTCGGCCAGGTTGTCGAGGGCTTCGATGTCCTGGATAAGATCAATGAATCCTTCATTGACGACCGAGGTCGACCGTTGAAAGATATTCGCATTCGTCACACTACTGTCCTTGACGATCCCTTCGATGACCCGCTGAATCTGGTTGAACCACCTGAAAGCCCGGTTCCCTCCAAAGCCCAATTGGCCACGGTCAGGATCGCGGACGATGAGGACTTGGACGATGATATGGATGAAGAGGCTATGGACAAGCTGCGTCGCGAGCGTGAAGCTCGCGCACAAGCCTTGACATTGGAAATGGTTGGAGATCTGCCGTTCGCCGATGTAAAGCCACCAGAGAATATTCTTTTTGTTTGCAAGCTTAATCCGGTCACACAAGGTTTGTCGCATTCCCCTACGGACCCCGTGAGATTGTGCTAATCCAATTCTAGATGAGGATCTGAATCTTATTTTCAGTCGCTTTGGAACGATCTTATCTTGCGAAGTCATTCGGGACAAGCGCACCGGGGACAGTCTACAATATGCGTTTATTGAATTCGAGGAACAAAAGGACTGTGAACAGGCCTATTTCAAGATGCAGGGTGTCTTGATCGATGACCACCGGATACATGTGGATTTCTCACAGAGTGTAAGAGCCCCTCATCAACCACACTACTGCCTAGACCAATATGCTAATGTATCCCAGGTATCCAAATTATCCGAAAGCTGGCGCAACTCCACTGTCACTAAGCGCCGGGAGAGAGGAGGATTTGGTGGTGTTGCAGATCTTGAAGCGAAACGCCAGTACCGAGAGCTGGACGATTCACCTGTCGATGAGGATGATGCTAGGTATCGGATGATGTTTGACAAGAACAAGAATAGGGGCGCTCCAGCTCCACCCCGCGAGGCTCCACGGGAAGCTCCGTCAGATCGCAGTCGTATTCGTCGAGATCGAGGGAGTCGAAGCCCCCGTCGGGATGGACGGGATCGGTACCGTCGTCGATCCTATAGTCGGAGTCCACAACGGGATTCACGAAGAGATCCACGGAGAGAACGAGGCCGGTACAATGACCGTGACCGACGATAGTATTCAAATATCCCCTATTCTAAGTCAAATAAATAGTTCTCTAAACATACGGAGTACATATTATCCACTTGACTTCGCCCCTTACCATAGCAACAAGCCAAGGCCCCGCTTTCACTATTGGGAGACCACTGGGCAGTGGGCAGGTCTCACTCGGCGCTCGCTAGCCACTTTCTTGTATGAACAACTCGCTATTATTCGTCTTTGCAGATCCCTAAAAATAAACCGGAGTCCACTAAGTTCGTAATAGTCTGGGATATATTAGTTAACTAGTTAGCCAACTGGAGCACATTGTAAACCTGTGTGGACTTTTAAAGTGTAACTAGGCAACTTGAAGTACTTAATCAGCTTGGAGCTTCACCCCACGTTTTTTTATTCTTTTGATTTACTTTTCCCCCTCTCCTTCTCCTTTCTCCTTTCTCCCAATTTACATTGTCTCTTCTTATTTTCTTCTCTCCCAAAACTATTCCAAAATGGCAAGTGTAATCAAAGATGCTGTCTCCAATGTTCTTGGAAAGATCCAGGGCACCGCCACTCCAGAGGTTCCTCGTGAACCCTCAGTGGAGGAGTTCCAAGCACTACAGAAGAAATACACAGATGCTGGACAAAGGCATGTCTTCGCCTTCGTCGAGGAATTGACCACCGTCGAGAAGTCACAGCTCTTCCACCAGTTGTCCAACTTTGACCCCACTCGGATCAACGAGCTGGCTGATAAGTCCCTCAACCCTCCTCCCGCCGAGCAAGGGACCGTGACCCTTGAGCCCCTCCCCTGAAGTCGCCTCCGCCTCCATCCTCGACTCCGACCCCTCAGATATTCAGAAATGGTACGAAGCTGGCCTGAAGGAGGTGGCGGCGAACAAGGTGGCCGTGGTCTTGATGGCTGGTGGACAGGGTACCCGGCTCGGTAGCTCGGCTCCTAAGGGCTGCTTTGACATTGGTCTGTTGAGCGAGAAGTCGCTATTCCAATTGCAGGCTCAGCGTATTCTCAAGCTGCAGTCTCTCATCGGTGGTCAGAACGTGGTCATTCCCTGGTACATCATGACCAGTGGACCTACACGTAAACCCACCGAGGAGTTCTTTGAGAAGAACAACTACTTCGGTCTCGACAAGAGCAATGTTATGATCTTCGAGCAGGGTGTTCTGCCTTGTATCTCCAATGATGGCAAGATTCTGCTCGAGACCAAGGGCAAGGTATGTAGTATCCGCGTGTAGCTCAATTTCATGTAGGGAGAGATTTGTTGACCCTTAAATATAGGCCGCCGTGGCTCCTGATGGAAACGGTGGCATCTACCAGGCCCTCGTGGTCTCCGGTGTGCGCGAGGACATGCGCCGCCGTGGCATCGAGCACATCCACCTCTACGGAGTGGACAACTGCCTTGTCAAGGTAGCCGACCCGGCCTTCATTGGCTTTGCTGCCTCCAAGAACGTCGACATCGCTACCAAGGTGGTGCGCAAGCGCAATGCCACTGAGTCCGTGGGTCTGATCCTGTTGAAGAACGGCAAGCCCGACGTGGTCGAGTACTCCGAGATTGACAAGGAGACTGCCGAGGCCAAGGACCCCAAGCAGCCCGACGTTCTCAAGTACCGTGCCGCCAACATCGTCAACCACTACTACTCCTTCGGGTTCCTCGAGTCGATCGAGAACTGGGTTCACCAGTTGCCCCACCACGTGGCGCGCAAGAAGATTGCCTGTGTCGATACCGAGACTGGTAACCTTACCAAGCCCGAGAAGCCTAATGGTATCAAGCTGGAGCAGTTCGTCTTCGACGTGTTCCCCATGACCCCGCTTGAGAAGTTCGCTACCCTTGAGGTGCACCGTCACGACGAGTTCTCTCCTTTGAAGAACGCCCGTGGCACTGGTGAGGACGACCCTGATACCAGCCGTGCGGATATCATGGCCCAAGGTCAGCGGTGGGTTGAGGCTGCTGGTGGTATTGTTATTACTGATGGCGAGGCCACTGGTGTTGAAGTTTCTCCTCTGATCAGCTACGTATGTGTCCTCTTTTCTCTCTTTTCTCTCTTTGTTCTCATCTTGGCTCAAAAAACTAACATGCAATTACAGGGCGGTGAGAACCTGGAATTCCTCAAGGGACGGGAAATTAAGGCACCGGCCATCCTGGAACGGGAAGAGTAGATTAGGATGTAACCAGTCGGATCTCACGGGAGATCTGGAACGAAGAAATGAATTGCACTTTTTTTTGGGAGAATGGATCTGTAGGAATGTAGGGGTAAGGTATTTTATTCATAACATTAGCTGCTAATACTAAGTTATATACAACATACAACATTAGTCAACATCAAGAGTATAGAAGAGTAAATAAACGTCTTACGCCTTACGCAATACGGAAAAGCCCGGGAGCTAAAGTCGTTTGACGAGTTTGTTCTTTTTCCACTTTTCCTCTCTTTCTTTGTGCATTCTCTTTAAATAAAAAGCTGTTGGAGTTGAGGTTATTGAAGTTGTTGAGTGTAAGTGATTCGATTTCTTCTTATTGTCTGTTCTTTTGTTTTTGCTTCTTTTTTTTCTTTTCTGTGTGGTTTCTTTCCTTTGTCCCACTTTTTTTTTCTTCGAGTGGGCTGTCAGAAACATGCCTCATTTTCTCCAAAGGTTCTCAAAAACAAAAATAGCTGACCAAAGAGAGGTACTATAGACTTTGACAAGGATTTGAGAAGAGTGTTACTGTGAGGGTGAGTGAGATATGGCGTTTCGCATTTCGCCGTTCAAGCTCGTGCTCTCCCCCGCCGATCTACGTCTTCCCCTCTTTCGCTCGAAATTTTTGAGGCAAATTCGAACTCGACTCCGGAAAACGTCGGATACAATTTACACAATGGAATTGAAAAGTCAAAAACAAAAGACGACGTATGTTCATTACACATTTTCGACAATTCCGGCAATGGAGGGGAAGACGCTGCTTATCGACGGAGCTATACGAAACCATATAAACCCGACACCGGGCTGACTTGCGATGGATAGAATACCGTCAGAATGATGTTGTCTCGTCGCGCATGCTACAAGTGTGGCACTATTGGCCACTATGCTGGTTAGTATAGCTTGGAAGCTTGCTATATCTGGGGGTCAAACTAATTCCTCGGTAGAGGTCTGCTCTTCCACTGAGCGTCTCTGCTACAACTGTATGTGAATATCTCCCCGAGAGGTCATACTCTTATCTTAACTAGGGTGCTAATATATCTCATTTCATAGGCAAGCAGCCCGGTATGTTCAATCATGAGTCATAGTACCCAAAACAAGCTTCTAAGTTATTCATACAGGCCACGAGTCGAGCGCCTGCCCTCTGCCCCGTACCACCGAGAGTAAGCGATCACTCTATATCAACTCCCGCCATTCCAAATTGCTAACACCATCCAGCCAAGCAGTGCTACAACTGCCAGGGTCTCGGCCACGTCCAGGCTGACTGCCCCACCCTGCGCCTGAACGGTGGTGCCAACGGCCGCTGCTACAACTGCAGCCAGCCCGGCCACCTTGCCGTACGTTTCTGAACCCCAAGTCCAGGTCTTCAACCCGGATCAGACCATTGACTAACTCCGCTCCAGCGCAACTGCACCAACCCCGCTGCTCCCGGAGCTGGTGCTCCCCCTACCGGTCCCGCCGCTGGCCGCGGCGCCGGTGGTGCTCGCGGTGGTTTCCAGGGTGGATTCCGCGGTGGATTCAGCGGCTACCCCCGTGCCGCAACCTGTTACAAGTGTGGTGGTCCCAACCACTTCGCCCGTGACTGCCAGGCTCAGGCCATGAAGTGCTACGCCTGCGGCAAGCTCGGCCACATCTCGCGTGACTGCACCGCCCCTAACGGTGGTCCCCTCAGCTCCGCCGGTAAGGTCTGCTACAAGTGTGCCCAGGCTGGCCACATCTCCCGCGACTGCCCTACCAACGAGGGTGCCGCTGCTCCTGTTGCTGTTGTCGAGGCTACCCCCGTTGCCGCCGCGCCCGTTGTGGCTGCTGCCCCTGCTGTCGCCGCGGTCGAGACTGCCACTGAGGCTAACACTGTCCCTGCTGCGGCTCCTACTACTGCCGTCGCTTAAATGTGTTCGGCCCTGTCTCTCCACTGTGCATCTGCAATTGGAGGAATGCTTGGAGTTCCTTTTCTTCCTTGATTCTGTATTACGGTCACTTTCCCTACACCTCGATCGGTCCTTTCTCTCCGCCATTTCTTCCTTTGCATATATTTAAATCACGACCTCTATTTTGGAGAGGGTCTGGTTCTGGACCTTAAAAAACAACAGCTTTTGATTTCCCTTTTTCACCCTTTTGGCCTTTTGGAACTTGTTCTTTTTTTTACTTTATTTTTTTTTTATCACCCCTATCATGTATACGACGAACAAACAGAAAAAAGTTCCTTTATGGTTTTGTTTTTTCGCGAAGTCCTCGACTTGACTTTTTTTTTTTCAAGTCTTACGAATTGGCGTCTGTTGTCTATTCTCATGGATTATCTTTCTTGGTTTTCGATCGACTCTTGGTTGCGGTCTTCCTGAATGGGGCCAAGGAGAGAACGAGGAGATGAAGTGTGGCATTGAGAGGATATGTTGGAAGCTGAGGGGAATTGGATTCGGGGACCGTTGCAACTTGAAAGAAAGAGGACTTCCAGATGGGAAGAGTCCTGAGAACATTTCGAGAATCTAAAAAAGAAATATCTCAATCATCTTGTTCTTGTAGTTATATAGATGTTGGTGTGCTTAGTAGCAGTCCGAACCCGTGACTTTGATCACTCAGGAGTCTCCCTTCACATCTCTTGTCCACTCTACAATCCCCCCCATCACTCGTCTTAGCATAGCCATCTCCAATTGAGCTCATCAATATGCCAGGCTCGGTAGGAAGTGATGAATTCGACGATGATGAGGTATAATAAACTCCATCCCCACGCATGCCCTCGAGCTGCCAATCTAACCAGTGAATTATCTACAATTGCAGAACTTCATCCTGGACATTGATGGTATCCAGGCCCATGGCATTGGCGCAGCCGACATCACCAAGCTGAAGGCCAATGGATTCTACACTATTGCTGTCAGTGCCTCAGCCCTAACCACCTCATCCCCAAGCATATTCCAAGCTCATGCCATCCCCAACCTAACCATTCATCCAGTCCGTCCACGGCGCCACCCGCAAAACCCTCTTGAAGATAAAAGGTTTCAGCGAGGTCAAAGTCGAAAAAGTCAAAGAAGCAATTCAGAAATGTCTCCCCACGGCGTCGGGATTCATCACAGCAATGGAACTCCACCACCAACGCAAGAAGGTCGTCCGTATCTCAACCGGCAGCAAGCAATTCGATTCAATCCTCAATGGGTGAGTACAACAACACCCACCCTCAAAGCCAAAACCATCGGACAAACCCCCATCTAACACCATACCAGAGGCTTCCAAAGCATGAGCATCAGTGAGGTCTTCGGAGAATTCCGATGCGGCAAAACCCAACTCTCGCACACAATGTCTGTAGTGGCCCAACTACCCAAAGAATCCGGTGGAGCAGCCGGCAGAGTCGCCTACATCGACACAGAAGGCACGTTCCGACCCGAGCGCATTGCCCAAATCGCCGAGCGGTTTGGCATGGATCCAGATACGGCGCAGGAGAATATTTCGTATGCGCGCGCCCTAAACAGTGAGCACCAGCTTGAGCTGCTGAATACGCTTTCTCAGGCTTTTGCCGGTGGCGAGTACCGGTTGCTTGTTATTGATAGTATCATGAACTGTTTCCGGGTTGATTATTGTGGGCGTGGTGAGTTGGCGGATCGGCAACAGAAGTTGAATCAGTTTTTGATGAAACTAGCGCATATGGCCGAAGGTGAGATTTTGGTTCTGTGTTTTTTTGTTTGTTTTGTGTCTGTTGGCTGATTTGGTTCGACTTGCAGAGTTCAATGTCTGTGTCTTGATGGTGAGTGCGAGCTTATGTGTTTCGAGGTGTTGAGGCTCATGCTTCGGGGCAGACAAACCAGGTCCAGAGTGATCCTGGTGCCAGTGCTCTTTTCGCTGGAGCTGATGGTCGCAAGCCCGTTGGTGGCCATGTTCTTGCACACGCTTCCACTACCCGTGTGCTCCTTCGGAAGGGTCGTGGTGATGAGCGAGTTGCGAAGATTCAAGATTCTCCTGGTGAGTACTTTGATATATTTCGGCGTCTATCACTGCTCTAACCATTTCTAAGACTGCGCTGAGCGTGAAGCAATCTATGTTATTACCAATGGCGGGATCAATGATCCTGAGAAGGCTTGAAGGTAGTGTGGTCGAAACGATGTCTCGATATCAGGGGAAATGCTCTGGAGCCATGATTTTCACGATGTATCAGGATTGATGCTGCGACGAATTTATACCATTAGTTTATGCCATAGATAATAGGTTAGAATACCAAAGAGTCCAAGTTATGCTCATGTCGATGTAGTCGCAGCCCTAATTAGAAGGTTCATGTTCACCGCCTACACCGCCGCTCTGACACCGCGGCAAAATTCTGTGCCAAGAGCAAATCTGCAGAAAAAGTTCAGCTCAATCAACGCAACAATCCGGCAATCAAACCTCCATTCAAAATGAAGGTCGAATCCGTGCAGGTGGAAGGGTACACCACCCTGCCCGTGCAGCTCCCAACAACCCCCCTCTTCCCCGAACCCGCAACACACTACCTCTACATCCGACCACACGAGCCCCGAATCCCAGACCCAGATTCCACCCGCTCCCTCTTCATCGTCAATGTCCCAATCGACACAACAGAAGCCCACCTCCGCCACCTCTTCGGCACCCAACTCGCCGCCGGCCGCGTAGAAAAAGTTCAATTCGAAGATGTGCAGACCAAAAAGCGCGCAGCGGCAACAACCACAGAAACAAACCTAACGCAATCCAAAAAGAAGCGCAAGCGCGTAACTGCCGACGACTTCGAACGTTATCTAGACGACATCACCCTCCCCTCAACCTGGGACCGCAAACTGCAAAAGAGCGGCGCCCACGCAGTCGTCATCTTCGCCGACAAACCCAGCATGGAATCCAGTCTGAAAGCCGCCACCAAGGCCGCCAGACGCGGAACCACCATCATCTGGGGTGACAGCCTGCCAAGCGACCGCATCCCCGTCCTCGGACTGAACCGGTACGTCGCGCACGAGCGCATGCAGTACCCGGATCGCGGGACGTTGCTTCGGGCGGTGAATGAGTTCATGACTACGTTCACTCAGGTATCTGAGGTGCGCAAGCGCGAGGATCACAAGCGTCTTGCTGTGCCGGATGAGGATGGATTCGTTACTGTTTCGCATGGACCGAAGTTGAATTCTGTGGCGAGGGAGGAGGAGATGAGGGAGCTTGTTGAGAAGCAGAAGAAGAAGGGTGAGGGTCTTGAGGACTTTTATCGGTTCCAGTCTAGGGAGAAGAGGAAGGAGAGACAGAATCAGTTGCTTAGGCGCTTTGATGAGGATAAGAAGAAGTTGGCGGAGATTAAGGCTCGGAAGGGGAAGATTCGGGTAGGTTTTTTTTTCTTCTGCTTGTTCGGTTGGTCTTTTGGGAGTGGTGATGCTAACTTCTTATACAGCCTGAGTGATCCGGTGCATGATAGCAAGGCGTTCTGGGTGTCTTTTTTCGATGGCAGGATAAAAGGTTCGAGGTGGTGTCCTATGTACTTGTGAGTATTTACTTTTGCTTTTGTTGCTTTTTATTTTTTTGGTTATATTCGCTCCAATGATGAACACGCTGGGGCCATAGTAGCGAAACGCGCTTCGCTCGCTGTTATGCCATGACTGCAAACACCAGCTTATCTATCTTCTCGCCTTCTGAACTGGAGTTTTATATCTTGCCGAGGTTTATTCCGCTTCTTGGTGTTACATCTGCTAACTGTGGTTGGAAATAGGTTAGATACATACATACATGTTATCTCAATATCAATAGTTTATGATCCAATTATTATATATATACATGTACAACAGTAGTTCAAATTGTATCATCCATAGCCCAACCCACCGCGTCGAGTAGATGTCTCTCCGGATCCGCACAGACCAACGCTTGGCGTTACATCCCACCTCTGGACAAACCGTACGTCTTGCTATGGATGGGATTGATAGCTCTGCCAAAGTATAAAACAATTTGAAAACATCAGAGACCAAGGGCTACAGTTAGCTGTATCGTGTGATACTCCTCTCGGCTAAATCGCCTTCTCCAAGCCCGGCCTGAGACATAAGCTTCATATGATATATTCTGCAAGAACAGCCCTATCTTACCAACATACAGCACCTCTTTGAGGGGTTTTGTACCCTCTTCCTATCGAAAGCCTATCAAAAGCCCATCAAAACTGATAGTCTTGATCATTGGACCCGACCCATTCTATTTATATCAAAAGAAAGACACAAACACCAAGATGTCCCCCGCCTCAATCCAAAATGACCCAAAAAACAGCTCCGACTCCGACTCCGACGTCGAGTTCGAGGATGTCCCAATCTCCCTCTCAACCAGATCTAGAAACAGGGAAGACATAGACATCCCGATAACAATCCGCTCAAATCCGCAACCACAATGGACACCCACTCTATCACTCCCTCAACAGCGAAGCCAGCCCATCCCCTCAGGCTCCGAGGAAGAAACCCAGCTCCGAGGCCAGATCAGCACCGGGATAGAGAGAGTCACATACCGAAAAATGAAATCCGATATGGGCATGGACGCACCGGATACACCCGCCTCGGAACGCAGGTATGATAGCTTCCAAGACCTTGCTGCGGATGTGGAGAGTCTCATTGATACGCTTTGGGCGTCGGCAACACGTGAGTTTTATATTTCATACTTCCATGTTGTAGAAGTGAGCAAAGTAGATATATTGTTTGACAGTGTATAACTTTCTTTGCTATCTTTTTCTCCCTCGTTTTCTTCCCACGGGTATATATATCTTACATTCTAACTGATCCATCCAGCGGCAATCCAAACCGAAGCCCTCATAACCCTAGCAGGCTTAGTCCAAACCTCCCTCCCGGCATTTCCCTTCGATGCCCCTTCAACCCTGAACATCCTCCACAAACTCGACTCCGTCTTCGCGGCACTGTGTACAAGCACGCATCCACTCACTGGTGCCGTTCTGCCTGGTGCACAGCCGGGCCAGTCTCTCGTTACGGAGACGCAGAAAGTGCGGGTGAGGAGTTTGGCGGAGAGGACTAGATATCAAGTCTTTTCTTGCTTGGCGATGTCGAATGAGAGAGGACCAGGTAATGCTGCTAATGGTTATGGGGATGGTGATGACGAGGACGAGGATAGTGGCGATGAGGTCGATGAGCCGTGGATGTTGGAGGCTACGCGGGTTTATGAGAAGAGTCTTATGTTACTTGCAGAGCAGGATCCTGAGGTTGAGGCTGGAATGGATGGGTTTAATTGTTTGTAATTGATTTGATGTATATATATAGTTATATTCTTCGTTGCGTCTTATGTTGTATGTGTTTTCACAGAGTATACAAAATTGAGGTGGGAGGGGATGAATGGGCCTAACTGTTTAACTGTTTATAGTATATATTCTATCCTGTTGCCTGATCTATGTGTTTTAGCCATGCGGCTCCAAGTAATAAATAGATGGTGAAGAGTATATTTTTAGAACAGATCTCTTGCCATTACGTCGGTGTACATCCAAGATATACGAGACGCTCAGGCCACACATAAAATAGTGACATACTACGTAGTTAACGAGTTCTGGAGAAAGAAAGTCCCACTCCAATTTGTATACACTGTAGATACTCCGTAGTATATTGTAAATATTGTAAATAGTATTGATATTACTTATGGATCCAGAAATATCTTCTAGAAACTTCTAGCTCATAAAAAAAAGAAAGAAAAATCTGGACCAAAAAATAAAAAACAAGAGTCAGTGGGGTATATTATTCACTCAACAAATGTCGACTCTGGAATCGGTAATCAAAGTAATGGAGTATACAGTAAGCGTTCCTGTACCTCGAATTCAGGTATCAATCACAGACAGGGCTTGTACTCTCTTTGGTCAGAATGGAGTGAACTAAGTGGATGTGAGGACTGATAGTGGGGGGTTATCGGGGCCAGCTAGTGGCCTGGGGCTGCGTTGCTCGGGAACTGCAATGACCAGTAGGATGTCCGAGGGGCTATATTTTAGATGGAAGATATACAACATACTTTGTATACTTGATTATGCTTTGACTTGCTTTTTTTTTTCCATGTGAAATCAAATAAGATTGTAACTGTGTTATACATATATTATATGTGTTCTTTGGATGATATTTCCGATGGCGGGAACAAGTTGCTTTGTTTCCATGGTTGTTTCCATGGTTCATGTACATTGTATTTGGTATTTGAATATGCCTTGGTGAGATGGAACTATTACTAGAGTTATATTGTATGTTACATCTTACTATGGAGTAGAACCAATAGTTAGTTATAGTGGGATGTACGTTGTAGTCTATCTGAATTGTTTAGGGCTACCTTATAACTCTAAAGCATTCTGTACAAGGCTCCAGTCATGCCGTGTCCTACCATGCAAGGGTTGAATTAGCTTATTTCCATACAAGAGAAATAGACCTGAAACCTAACATCCGTTATGAATATCATCCCTTGCACGCAACCCCTTCCATATAAAATAAAAAGATACAATGTATGGAGTGTGTACATAGTAGGAAACATGTCACTGGACCATATTTACTGGATACAAGTAATTCAATCTTTAAAAAAAACCGCATCGCGTACCGCGTAAAGTGAAATTAGCCAAGCGGTTTGTTTGAATGGAATGAAAATCTCTGCTGGTAAAGTAGTAATTCCAATACGAGCGGCCCCTCAAGCCCGGCCAATAAGAACAGAACTCCGCATAAGAAGCCTCCCATGGTTCTGATGGAGCCTTTTAAATTTTTTTTTCTTTCTCTTTCTTTCAGAAGTTTTTTTCTTTTCTGGTATTCTTTCATGACCGGAGGTGGCGGCTGACGTATTCTTGGAATACGAAGGGAGGGGTGATCGGTTTAAGAAATCCTTGCGTGTAGGGCAAGTTACAGGACATGGATTAGAGAACCTTGCTTCGAGAAGATTGGGGGAGCTCTGTTGGACCTTCAGCTCAGGGCTGCAGTTAGACGTGTATCTGGGGTGACCTTGTTGTATTGTGGAAATAGAATTACCGTATGGAGCTGTTAGTTCCAATGATTCCGTGTCTGTTCTCCAAAGTTTTAGGGTTGCTTATTTATGATATTACCTATACTTTGTATATAGACATAATACATCCATGGATAAGATGTACTACATCTACAACACACTTTATAATGCATTCATGGATAGCCCTAGTTTCACATATAATATGAGATATCAGATTCTGTACCCAACAGGTACCTGATCCTGCTCCGCCTCCGTACTCTTTCTTACTCAGCATATGACGATGACCTTGGGAGAGGCCCACACAAACCTGATGGTTGACAAGTCACATTGCGAGGACGGCGACAGGTCCTTGCAGATTTCATGCATTGGGGCTTCCTGCCCTCATGCATTGGGACTTCCTGCCCCTTGTTCGCCTGTCTTTCACCGAGATTTGATCGGATTTTGTTTAGATCTGGTTATTTCTTTCTGTTTGCTGTGTATTGGAACATACGGACAAGCGGAAGATAAAAAAAAAGGCTAGGGTCGATCATCGGCAAAAGAACTTTAGATGTAGACCTCGGGTCAGAGGCGATGATGTATCATCTTCAATTTCACCGGGCTTCCCGGGATCCTGGAACGATGAAGACTCTAGCAAGCCCCCCCCGCATAACTGATATCATGCAGCATTGACAGGAATCTGGGGACAGCTTGGATAGTTATGTATACATATATGTAGATAGTTTATATTTATTTGTAGACATCTGTACTTCGTACCTGCCTTGGGTCAAAGAAAGGAAAAGAGTTCGGATCGGCAGAGGCAAGGCACTCTGCAAACTACCGGGTAAAAGTGTACGACTAGTTGATAGATATTATATACTATTGATACTAATACAACGTACAAGTAGTTTCTTATACCTTATTCTACGTGCTACTATTGTACAATAGTTATACAATATAGCATGTTAGTTATAGGCTACCTAACTAGTAGGCGAGGTAATGACTACATACTTCAACTCTGGAACGGAACATACCATACCTTGTAATACACATACCATACCCAGACTCACGTAATGCGTTTTCCCACTTCCCCTCTCTCTTCATCTCGCGAGATTTCCAATTCTTCATTTTCTTCTTTTCCCCTCCTACCTTCCCCTCCCTTTTCTTATTGTTCGAAGATCTCGGTTTCAATTTTCTGTTTAGTTTATCGGGAGTTCTGCTTTTCCTCCCTTGTTGCCGATTACTCTTTTTTTGCCTCGCGCATTTCCAGTGTTTTCCCAGGTTTTCCTCAAATCATCTAGGTAAGTTGGTCTTTTTTGTGTCGCATATCACCTGTTTCATCATTTCAATAAACTATGCCCTCTCCCCCATATATATCACCTGGCGCAGCAAAACGCAAGTGAGCCCTAGATCGCAAACTTCTTTGCAAGGTTCTCCACGATTTTAGTATGGTGATTTGCCTATGCTTCCAACGCCTTCGCCTTGACCAGCGCTTTCGGGACAGACGATTATCTACCGGTCGCACACACTCCAACCTCAAAATCATCGTCAATATGATGAATCGGTCAGATCGGGATTCCTGAATTGCCCCAAAAATTGTGCCTGGATTGAGAGGGCGGACGGTCGCATTCGGACATCGAACCGACGGAAACGGTCGACGCATGATGATCGCCTAGCAATCCGAGTGAAAAAAGCAAGTCTATTTTCGTCTCGCGCATCCAACTTTCGCCCTTGGGTTGTTCGTCTTCGGCCAATCCACCCTCCAATCATAGCCACCAACCTCATGAAGATGAGATGGTGCCCAAAGCACTGGTCTTGGCGATTTCCGGCACCTCTTTTTTGAGGCTCGGAATTCATATATGCGCCTGAAGAACCCGCAAACTGCTGACTACCCACTTTTCTTTTTTCCCTCTCTCTCTTCCACTCCGTTTCATTCACTTGCTTTGATTGAGTGTCTTTGTCTGCTTTTCACCTCTCTCTTTCATTTCTTTATTTGCGCATGTGCAGATTTGATTTAATATCAATCAATATCGATATAATCTAACATTTATATCTTTTACCAGCCTTTCACGCCCGTCTCTTTGCTTGGCTTCGTTACGACTTGATCTCACGCCGGTCTTTCTTTAACGACTCCACGAAGTTCTAGTCGCTCAGCCATCTTATATTCTTACGTCGACTTTCCCGGACTTTGATTCTTGCAACCATGTCTTACAACGGCTACGAAAACTTCCCTCAGCAGGACCCCGCCGCCGCTGGCGCCCCGGCTCCCGTTGATACCACCATGACCGGCCAGGCCGACCCCTCCGCCGCTCAGTTCCAGGGCCCTCCTCCTGGTGACGCCAACTCCGCCCCCGTCCCCCAGCAGGGTGCCGATGGCAAGACCACCCTTTGGATGGGTGAGCTCGAGCCCTGGATCGACGAGAACTTCATTCGTAACCTCTGGTTCCAGATGGGTGAGCAGGTCAACGTCAAGATGATCCGTGACAAGTTCTCTGGGTAAGACACCGTAATTATCATCTGAAATTCTCCAAAATTGTTTCTAATGTGGGTAGTAGGAGCAATGCTGGATACTGCTTCGTCGATTTCGCTTCCCCTGCCGCCGCTGCCAAGGCCCTTTCTCTGAACGGTACCCCCATGCCCAACACCAACCGGGTCTTCAAGCTCAACTGGGCTACCGGTGGCGGCCTTGCCGATCGCAGGTAAGCGAGAATCTCGTTCGTTTCGTTGCCTCCCGTCTCCTAAAACTAACTCCCCCTTGTTCCAGCCGTGATGACCGTGGCCCCGAGTACTCCATCTTCGTTGGTGACCTCGGCCCTGAGGTGAACGAATACGTCCTCGTCTCCCTCTTCCAGAGCCGCTTCCCCTCTTGCAAGTCTGCTAAGATCATGACCGACCCCATCAGCGGCATGTCCCGCGGCTACGGCTTCGTTCGCTTCTCCGACGAGAACGACCAGCAGCGTGCTCTCACCGAGATGCAGGGTGTCTACTGCGGCAACCGCCCCATGCGTATCTCCACCGCTACTCCCAAGAACAAGGGTCCCGGTGTTGGTGGCAACGGTGGTGCTGCCATGGGTATGCCCGGTCCCGCTGGCATGTACCCTCCCATGGGTGGCCCTCCTATGCCTTTCTACGGTGCTCCCCAGCCCATGAACCAGTTCACGGACCCCAACAACACCACTGTTTTCGTCGGTGGTCTGTCCGGCTACGTCACCGAGGATGAGCTCCGCTCTTTCTTCCAGGGCTTCGGAGAAATCACCTACGTCAAGATTCCCCCGGAAAGGGCTGTGGTTTCGTCCAATTCGTGCAGCGCCACGCCGCCGAGATGGCCATCAACCAGATGCAGGGCTACCCCATCGGTAACTCCCGCGTGCGCCTGAGCTGGGGCCGCTCCCAGAACAACTCCGGCCCCGCCGGCAGCCCCTACCGCCCTGCTCCCCCGCCGCCTCCCATGTACCCCTCCATGGGCATGCCCCCGGCCCACCAGTATGGCGGGTTTGCCCCCATGAAGGTGAGCGATCACCCTGGCAGCCCGATCCCGGATCAAATGTGAAGCAGGCGGTCGGCTGACACACTCTTCCAGTAAGCGTTTCCCTTTGATTGAAAGCACCAGCAGGAGTTATCTGTGTCATTTCAATGATGATTCTATTGTGTAACAAATTCGTTCCCTGGTTTCTTGGCCAAGGCTATAGCTCTTGATGAGCATTTGTCTCCTGTGCTACGCATTTCCTTTTTACGTGAGCGCTATTACCTTAGCAAGATCTGAGCTTTATCCCCTTTCTGATCTGTCTTGTTCTTATGTATCTTTCCTTTGATTTCCCTCCTTTTTTTTTTTTCCTTCTCCTACACTCCTCCTTTGCGACCTTTTTCGTATTTTATTATTTTTTCGTTATCTTATTTTCGATGTCTCTCTGCCCTGATGCTAACGGGGTTTCCCGCCACTGGGTCTTTGTTTGCGTGTAATGGAAGTCCGAATTGTCATGCGCTTCTTTTTCCCTTATACTCCCTTGGGCAGGCATTCTGCGAAAAAGTTCCATTTCCCCCACCGTTTACCACTTTATTTCCTTTGTTGCTTTTTTTTTTTTTTTTTTTTTCTTTTCTTCAAGCAGCTAAATTGAATTATGTTCGCTTTGAGAATCTTTGCGTTGTGCTTTCTTCTTTTTTACCCTGGTTTCTTCCTTGTTAAGACTGATTGCCGGTTTGTACAACACGCTTTCTTTCGTGCGCCTCAGCGTTTGTTGATTCTAAATTCCTTTGATCGTATGCAATAATGTCCTGTATGCTTGTTTGGTGTTTGCATTGCACTATCAAGCTCTCCATTTTCCTGGTATTGTATTGTCGGCCCTTTGCTTCTGGATCTACCTATATAAACATTGCCCCTATGGCTGGTCCAATAGGTGGAGGCTTCAATGGACTCGAGCATATTTGGTTGCTCAGGTAGTTGGTCCCTGGTGGTTGTCTTGGTGTATTGCTGTCTGCTGTGTGTTGTCTGTTGTCTCCTGTCTGTTATCTGATATCTTGAGTCTACTAGGTTAGGGCTAAGATTTGACCAGGACTGATTCTTGAGACAATTCTTCTGGATCACTGTAAACTTCTTATTTACTAGACACCGGAATGTATGGTCCTTCATCTCTTTTAATTCCGGGTATACTTATATGGCTACAGTCCTTAGGGCTGATATTCACCACATGAGTATGATAACTTATCGATAGGCAATAGACATAGAGCATACCGCCTTCTTTTGGCAACAACGACCCTGTTCCTGTATACCGCACCGCCTACCCCGACTTCCGTTTTGTTATACACCCTTCCACCAGATTCGACATGAGCAATCCATCTCTCATCTTCTTTTTACTCTCCATGACACCATGCGCTACAGAAACTGGGATGTCCTTCTTTTCCCTGAAGGCTCGAAAGTTCCTATCCAAGAGTTCAAGACACAATGCTTTGTGACCAAGGATAAAGACTCGCCCTACCTACACAGTGCAGCCTTCCTTGGCAATCATGCACACCATCCCGAGCACGGCTTTTTTAACCAGCTGCCAGTCCTCACTACATTTATCCCGAGTCTGCCCAGAGACAGTCCGTTCCAGGTCTCAGTTCATAGTTGGGAGAGACCACGTCCCAGTGTCCAAATCGAGTCCAACATGGAACCGGAGGACGTTTTACTCTTCGAGGTTCGGATCTTCATTGATGGGGTTTTTGTTGCGTGAGTATTTTACGATCTATGCACTCTGATAATGGGATTGAGCTGATTCGCTGATTCCTTACAGAGGCAATATCTATGGACAGAGAGCTACCTGGCCACAGATTATGGGTAAGTTGTGCTCGTTTACATCGTCGCTTACATTGTCGGAACGCAGTTCCAAGCTTCTTGAAATTTCCCCTCACCTGAATTCATCTTTCGTTCCCGTTGTGCTTGCTTTTTATTGAATAGTTACTGACGTTCATTTGGCAGATCTGGGCTCTAGTAAGTGATTACATTCCCTCTCCCTTTCTCTGATTTCAAGTTCTCACAGTTGGAGCAGATCTTGACCGAGATGGAAACCAAGACAGCCTCCGATTCCCTCCATTTCATTCTGAGATACTGCAGCAGAAACATTGGGATGCCGGAGATTCTCAAGGTAGAATCAAGGTTGTCATTGCAGAAGGTTTCTCTCGCCCCAATCGCTCGCCCCCATTCGAACGGTACAAGCATGTCATTGCTTTTTCTTTCCAGCATGCGCCACTAGATGTGCTGGAATTCTCCGACATTGCTTGGCCCAATCCCAACATGTGGCTTGCTATGCCGAACGCATCCCGGTACGGATCAGCAGCGAGATATGGTACCTCTAAGGTAGCTGGCGATGGCGCTCATGGGCATTCACCAAGCAAGCCTGGCAGACCCGAACATCGAATCACAATCACGGCCAACACGAGCAGCCAGTCTAGCAGCAATGCAGCTACTTATAGCGGCAGTAATTCATCAACTTACAATGCTTGGACTCCTAACCGTGGCTTTCCAATTCCTTCCACACAGTGGAATGGCTATCCCCAAGAACCTCGATGGGACCCACAGGACGCATACATTGTGGAGCCTGCCATGGAAGCCTTCGTTGATGATAGAGCATGGCGACAGCGTGGTGCTAGATCCTCCCGCGAGGATATCCCAATGCCCGATTATGTTTCTACAGGATCAACCAGCAGCCGGGCCATCTCATCTAGCCTGACTGGGATGAGCTACGAGCACAGCAAGCAACCCAGTATCAATTCATGCCTTGACGATGAGCAATACAATGAGTTGATTCAAGCTCTGACTCCGACAAAAGCGCCTCCAGCGGGTACTCGCGCCCCCTCCAATACTCCCTCCACTGCTGCTAGCGCAATGTCTGCCTCGAAGCCTTCTGCCGCAGCCAAAGCTCGATCTGCAGGCTACAAGACTCGAAGCCGCCGTGCATCCGCACTCAGAGAAATCTCACAACCAAGCACCCGTGATGTTTCGGGATCGAGCGAGCCCAAGAACTTGACTCCATCCAGAATTGGGGCAAGCCCAAGTGGGAAAGTCCAGAGCAAAAAGGAGGCTCAGAAAGAGGCCAGTCAGGAGACCCCCAAAGCACAACCAAATGGTAAGGCGACTGCGAAGGAAATCTGCAATCCCAAGGATGTTGAAATTGTGCAAGAGGAGAATGAGTCAGTTTTGTAGGATCGAACTGGCTGCGGTGATGCTTTTCAACTTATGATTACCTACCTCATTCATTTTGTTTTAGTTCGGTCTTGACATGAAGCCAACATGTATCTTTTATGCGAGCTTCAATCAATGCACTTTTTACTCTGTGGAACTGACAAGTATGCTGTTGTAAATCGACAAACGTACTTTATACCCTTATTTGAATTGCGATTGATACTTCCTTTAAAGGTACACGTTCCATATGAAGTTTGACTTCGACGTTTCTTGCTGTAGAAGTTGAGAAGTGTACTTTTGTATATCTCATCATCTTCGCGCTTCATCTCGCACGCATCTCTCCCTCGCAGGAGCATCTACCATCCACCTTCTCTCTTTGTTTGTTCGTGCAAACCACCTAGACAGAAATGTCTGGGAACCAGGATGAATCACCCATCCCAGGCCCACCTACCAGCTCAGGCACCAGATCACCACCCATCATCGAACGTTCGAAGCCAGTGATCCCAGACATCCAGCCCCATGACTCTGTCCCTGCTCCAACCATGCGATCTACCATTTTCTATCTTCACCAAGCTGGACTTCACAACCCTTCGCCATTAACTCCGCTCCCAGAGTCCAAGGTTCACACCCACGCTTCCATCGTCCACAAACCCCCAGCCCATGACTGGCAACTTGGCTCCAAGTGATTTGACCATGACAGAGGGTCACCGTCCACGGCAGGGCCAACATGGTCCTCAAATGGCTATGGTTGGTCATCAGAACCAACTGTCCGCTGGATTATCTATGGATACATACTCAGGGCCAACGATCCCACAACCAACACCCTGCCGCTCGACGTTGATCTCCGGCTTGATCTTGACTCAACATCCTGCCCCCGCCGATAATTCGTCCGTCTCGATGCAGTCGTATGTCACTCACCACCCGGTCATCCAACAAGTATCATCCATGGTGGATTTTGGGGGCATCAAAGATATCAGTAAATAATCATTGGGCCAATGGAAAGGAACTCTCACGACATGTAGTTGGCTACACCACATTGTACACTGTTTCGACTTATATTCTACAGTTTTGTGCCTGATTCTGCTTATTGCTCCAGCTACAACATCAATGATCAAAGGACTTCTTCCAAAGGGGACATTATATCTAGAGATCTTCTAAAGAGACTACAAGAGTAAAATGACCACGCATTGCAAGACACTTACACGAACCATTAATATTATCTGCTGTACTTAGTTAGATATCTGCAAGAATCCATTTTACTACAAAGGAAATCAAATGAAAAAAGAAATTAAAGAAAAAAGATTTGATTGATGTAAATGCTATCTAATGCCAGGGCGCTGTCCCTGGCGAAAGGTTCAAAGTGATTGGAGAGACAAGACAAGCAAGCAGACCGAAGTCAAACTCACAAAGTGTAAGTGTCTTGTCTCATCAGCGAGATTCGAAGTGCAATGAATCAAGCTGTTGGAAATGCCCTCAGATTTCTCTTTGGGCAACCAGAGCGCTGTCTCTGGTGAAAGGTTCAAAGTGGTTGGAGAGACAAGACAAGCAAGCAGACCGAAGTCAAACTCACAAAGTGTAAGTGTCTTGTCTCATTAGCGAGATTCAATGAATCAAGCTGTTGGAAATGCCCTCAGATTTCTCTTTGGGCAACCAGAGCGCTGTCTCTGGTGAAAAAGGCCCAAAAATTTGGAGTTTGATGGCGTCTGTGACCACCCAAGGATTCAACGAATCCATGCGTAATATGCCCCCGTCGTAGGATCAAGTCGATAGCCCCGGTGGGTGACTTGTCCTATATCCTCCCCCCGAGTCCTCCCCCTCTGGGACGAGGCCACGCCGGGTCTCAGATAACCCATCCTTCACCTCCCCAAAGACGTGATACGCTTGCGCGCAGTCAGACGTCAGGAATGCCCTCAGACATCTCTTCACTGGGCCGCACAATGCGCTGAGTCAAGGCCACACCGGGTCTCAGATAGCCCATCACTTGCATCCCCCAGGACGATACCACAGTGGGTCTCAGAGCCCAGGCTTCCAGGGACGTGATACGCTTGCGCGCAGTCAGACGTCAAAGAAGGCCCTCAGAGTTCTCTTCACTGGGCAACACAATGCTCTGAGTCGAGGCCACTCGGAGTCTCAGAAAGCCCAGGCTAAAAGAGACGTGATACGCTTGCGCGCAGTCAGACGTCAAAGAAGGCCCTCAGAGTTCTCTTCACGGGGCAAGCTCAAATTTCCATTGGAAGGCTGTGTCGAAAGCTGTTTCCAGATGGAGAGACGAGAGTACCTGATGAACCAAAAGTGTCAGCCAGTTGTCGTCTTGTGTTCAGAAAGAACGTACCGTAAATATCACAGATGCACTGCAAATAGATTGCTGTCTCACACAAGCCATGTGCGATTATCCATGCAAGCATCAGCAATATGATCAGGGAAAACGTTGGGAAGACTGACAGGAAAAGAGAAAACAAAGGGTGGTGGACTGATATGTGGGTCACAGAGAAGTATGGAACAAATGCAAAGGGGAACAAACAGAGTGTGCTTCACAGGATAGATGGGGGATGGAGGATGTAGAGAGGATGGAAGAGGATGGGGAGGATGGGGAAGGATGGGGAGGATGGGGAAGGATGGGGAGGATGGGGAAGGATGGAGAGGATGGGGAAGGATGGAGAGGATGGGGAAGGATGGAGAGGATGGGGAAGGATGGGGATGGATGGAAGGAGGAGAAAGAGAAGAGAATGGGGTAAGAGGGGGAGTGTGAAGAAGGAAGACGAAAAGAAAGAGAAGAGAGGAAATGGGAGGACTTTATATGTGAGGTCCCTTCCTAATTAGGGAAGTAGGATATGTGAGGCTATTTCCTAATTAGGGAAAGTAGCATATGCGAGGCCATTTCCTAATTAGGGAAAGTAGCATATGGACTTTTTCCTAATTAGGGAAAGTAGTATCATGGGACTACAAAGGAGTCACGACAATTATCACATGCTTCATCACATGTCAAGATCGTTCTTTGTTTGCTTTCTTTCCTTTGTTTGATGGAGTGCTACTATGCCTAATTTGGCATGCCTACTAAGCCTATTTGGGAAAGAGTTTAATGTTTGCACGGATCCATTGTTTGCAGAGATCCAGCACTATATCAACCATCTTTGCTTTTCTCGTTTAATGCACTCTTTCATTCAAAGACTTGGCTCGTAACACCTACAGTAAGACCAAGCTACTAAATTGACTTGCTTATACATCTAGTTGCATGTAACAACATGTACAGCTCGGAGACTGGAGGAAGTTGGACGGGAAAAAAACTGTCCAGATAGAATTGGGAGCCATATTTCGAGACCAGAAAAAAAAGATAACATGAAACGCATAACCATAACGACATCGAATCTCCTGAAATCTGCTAGTAGGGGAATATCCAAATCCAATATCAATCCGGTCACATCCCATCAACACACCAACACCAACAGCGACAACAAAGTAGAGTCGAGGAATTCCTGGTTCTTTTGAGTTGGTTCCTTTTTGTACCAGTCCCATTTCCTTTCCGGTCCATCCTGTGTCCGGTTTTGATGACACGGTTGGACCGGAGGGGGGAGGTATCTGGGTATCTGGGTCTGATCCGAGAGTACAGGCAAGGTGTAGAAAGAAGAAAAGGAGAAGGGAAGAACATCATAGGATGTATATAGCCTAGGTGATAGAAGCAGAGAGATGGAAGATCCACTACCAGTGATACTGGTAATCAAAGACGAAGAAAAAAAGAGAAAAAAACGGCCGGCATTTGTTGGAAGATTGTTCGAGATAGAAAAAGAGAGAAGATGTGACAAAAAAAAAGTAAAGAAAATCGTGGGAAATGAAGGGAAGAAAGTGCACTGGATCAGGCGTGGAGAATTGGACTTCATACTGAGAGGTATCACCGTTGCCCGTACAGACAAGGCAAAAGCAAGGAATTAAGTAACCATCCACAAGTAATAATAGTAATAATAGAAAGAAAGGAAGAGAAGCCAAGAAAACTCGTAGGTCACAGTGCACTAATCTCGAATACAGAAGAGCCCCGGTCAGTCCAAGCAGTCCCTGGTATCAGTTGGTGGATGCTGGCTTCCTAGGACAAACAAGGGGAGGAAGAGAGGATGCGATGAACAAGATACAACAACGCCAATCTCACAACAGCACATGCGCAGAACACACATATCCAGATAATTGGGAGACAAGAAAACAGAACAGATCGAGTATCCGCGAAAACGCACTAGAGTAATGATCAAATGTACAAACAAGGGTATATCGGAGGTGAAGCACCTGAAGGACCGTCAAGACTTTTACACGCTCACAGGCCATCACCGGCACCTGTCTCGACACCATCGGCCGAGTAGGATATGCTGGGGTCGAACCCAAATCCAGTGGCGTCGGCATCCGTGTTGAGGAATGTGTCAAAGTCGAAGTTCTCCAGAATGTCTGGATTTTCCAGTGCGCTGAAGTCAAGGTTAAATGCGGTAGGCTTTGATAGAGTCAGTAAATGCATAATTGTGGCAGGCGAGGTGGTGGAAGAACATACATCAGGAATGCTGAGGTCAGTGAAGGATTGCTGTTGCTCAGGGGGCTGCTGCACCATGGTCTGAGCAGGTGCCGAGGTAGGCTGTGCCGGTTGAGCTGGCCCGTTCGCTCCATTCGCTCCATTCTTAGTATTGAAAGAGTTAGGATGCTGGGGCGTGACAGGGGTCGATGGGGTCGGTGGCTCTGCGGCTTCGGTGGATGGAGTCGCGCCTGCGGCCGCACTGGCAGCAGCAGCAGCAGCTTGCTTCTTGTTGGGTCGCTTGGATTCATGTTAGCGCATGCAAAGATTACAGCATAATTTGAAGGTATACAAACCTTGCGGGTGTCCTTCGCTTCCTTCTTGCCCTTGGGTGGAGCCTTAGTACTCTGCTGGGGCGTTGGTGGCGCGTTCCCAGCCGTCTGAGGTGACGCCGGCTGGCCCCGACCAGCGTTAGGACCCGTGACGGGTGGCGCCGAGGGCGGAGGCATCGCGCTTCGTTCCTGCGGGGTTCCAGCCTGGGGCTGGTTCGCGGGCGAATGCTGCGGAGGCATCTGCGGTTGTCCTGGCTGCCATTGTCCACTAGGCATACGCTGGCCGGCATTGGCCGGAATCGGCTGACCCATTTGAGCCCCAGTGAAGGCAGGGTTAGAACTAGGAGGTCGCATATTCGGTCCAGGGAAGAACTGAGCCGCCATCTCTGGGGGTATCGGACCACCGTTGAGATTCATGGATCCGGGTGATCCACGCTGGGACATGTCGCCGGCGCTTGGCGACCCGGGAAGTCCAGTCGGAGGCATCTTAGGTGTGCCTCGTTTCATTTGGTCGCTAGGATTGGGAGATGCGCCCGCCCTGCTGCCCGGGGAAGTGCCTGGTGGCAAACCTCCCTGTCCGGGCATCGGGGGCTGGCCGTCAGCGCGGGCCATGGTATCTTGCTCTTGACGAGCCATCATCAAACGCCGCTTATTCTGCTGTTCAAGCAGCATAAGCTGCATCTGATAATCTTGAAGAGCATGGTTACCATGCTGACTGCCAGGTGTCTGTAAACCACCAGGTCGGACCTGGGCGAGTTGACCGTTTGCACCGTAGTACTCAGGACCAGCGGCCATGGGATACATCCCTTGGCCATCCGGCATCGGCACCAGATCCGCCTGATTCGCCATAACACCGGGATTCATCATGCCACCATTCGGGATACCCTGGGAATTCGATGCTGAGCGAGAGTGATGAAGGGCCAAGTTTTGAGCATATACCTGCATAGATTTCTGTTGCGCAGCTTGTCCCTGGAACTGCTGGAATTGCGCCGGAGTCATTCCCCTCTGCATTCCATTTTGCATCATTATAGCCTGCGGGTTGGGCTGTCCAGGCATTCCTTGTACCTGCCCACGGCCATTCGGTGCCAGTTGCTGTCCGCTGACGGCGCCTTCAAGACGAGGGCGTTTCGACGGCGAGGGGGCGTTGTCGGCAGAGGCGGGTGACTGTGGTCGATGTCCCCCCATCTCCATGTCCGGATCCCGTTGCATTTGCTGCATCATTTGCAACTGCTGGGTTTTCTGGTACTGCGCCATCTGTTGTTGTTGCGAGCTAGAAAAATTTCATCAGCACGTCCACCCCCAATTTAACACTCCGCATGGGGAAGAAGATATTCAGATAGAGCATACAGTCCAGTGGTGTTGTTCTGCAGCACTGTTTTCTGCAGGTTAGGAGGCACCATGCCATTCTGTCTCCGCAGCTGGTTCATCTGGCCGGGCATCATGGGCTGCTGCCTCATAAATTGATTGTGTTGCTGTTCTCGCAGACGCATGAAATTCTAGAAGAATGATCAGGATTAGCCCATCTTCCACATCCTCGAAGAAGACGATCGTTGACACACCTGGTTGTGCTGAAGGTATTGCCTAATATCATTGCTATTTCCTTTCTTGCGTTGAGCCCAAAAGAACTCCCAGAAAAGGCTGAACCAATCGAGGAGGAATGAGGAGGGGCTCTCGTTGGGAATATTTGGGTGAGGGAGATCATCTGGGATCTTGATCTTGTCACCATCCTTCCCGTCGGTCATCATAGCATCGGGGTCCATGCCATTGACATCGCCATCACGCCGATTTCCGGGACTCGTCTTGGGATTGTTGTCGGTGTTGAGTTTGATGTTTTCATCTTGCAAGAGAGCGCGGGCGCAGTCATGGTACCCACGCTTCAGAAAGTAATCATAGATATAGGTGTTGAGGTTGTTGATCATGATTTCGGGGTTGTTCATAGTGCCGTCGTTACGAGAAGCCGTGGATCCGTTGTTGATCATAGGAACTCCACCCACAGGGCCTCCAGCCCCGGGGTTCATCCCGACATTCATTTGGTTCATGGTGGCGAACGGTGGGACTGCAGCCACCCTTGCCGGTTGTATCGTGAGATTTTCAAATCTGATGTAAGAAGCTTCCGACGCGCGACCTCCGTTTCAGGCGATCAAGCCTAACGCGGGGTATTAGAAGCGACGCGTGGGAATTGATGCGGAGGCAAAGCGGTCAGCGCTTTCGAAGGAATATCGAATGCTCGCAAGCTGAGCAACGCGTGTGCGTGATGATAAAACAGGTATATTATCGCGAAATATAAGGGAACTCGAGATCGCCGGTGGCGTCTTCTTCCAGAGAAACCACGCGACGGGGGTAGAAACGAGAGGATGGAGGCTCGGAGGCGCAGACGAAGTATGTTCGGTGTCTCTCTGACTAGAGAAATTGATGAGCGCTTGCCAGAGGATTAAACGCTTCAAAGGACCAAGTGCAGGAGCAAGTGCGCAAGCTATATGGGGGTGGGCGATGACGGAGATCCAAGGAGGCGGAAAAAAGCGCACAAGTGAGGTGGTTGGTATGGGGGGCGGCGCCAGACACCCGATCGGGCAGAATTGCGGACAGGAGAGCACCAAGCCCGTGTACAAAGAAAAAGAAGACCCAAGGACAAGAAACAGCAAAATAAAAGAACAGGTTAAGAATAGAAAAGGGGAGTCTAAAAGATGTGGATCTCACAGTGGGAAGAGGAGGACGGATTCAGTGAGAGAGAGCCGGGGGGACGTACATTGACAGGCGCTGCGCTCTGCGGGAGAATCGCTTGTTCGGAGCGGATCAACCTGGTCGGATGTCGGGGCTGGGGATGGCGCTGTCAAGCGTATTTCTGGGAATGCACCGATCTGATAACCATTGAATTTGCGGTCTGCGACAAAATAGAAACAGTCGTCAGCGAATTAGCGAAAAAGAAATGAGAGATATATGTGGGAATATGGCAAATATAGAAAAAGAAAGGGAAAAAGGAAGGAAAGTCAGAAGGGTGATATGATACCTGATGGGCCCTGCGATGGATCCCAGCGGGAGTCTAAAAAAGTAAGGGTAAGCTAACTACTATTTCACGACCACCACAAAGGTTGAATATACCGAAGATGGAGCAATCCAGGAGAATTGAACAAATTGAGAGAAGAATCAATTGCTGTGGAAAAGTTCTGTCTAGGTAGAGGTTGAGAAAGGATGAAAAGGAGGGAAATTCGATCTGTAAAAGAGTTGAGGGGCGGAGATAGTGGTACAGAACCGGTATGGTCCAGCGTTTGTGACATACAATACTTGACAAATACACGAACTTGGATGTTCTTCTTGACCGCTATTTACGTGCCTACAGGAAACTATATATATTAATATATACTTGACCGAACTGCAGGTTTACTCTACAATACATGTTTGGTTATGACCATACCGATCAAGCTCCTGAACGGCAGATTCGCTGAGGATCTACAGTGACACAGCAAAAGTTTTAGCACCCAAATTCTGCCGGTCAGATATCCACCAATTAGAAATTGACGGATAACGGGCGGTATCACAAATTGAGAAGGCGGTATATTTAATTGGGAAGGCGGTAGTAGAAAGGGTAATAAAACTTTTGCTGTTTTCACTGTACACGTATAAAAAAAGAGGGAGATCATGCAATTTCGATGGACTGATTGCAACTTAACCATGCCCTTATTCTCGGGGTGTTTGTTCTTTTACTAAACCTGATGCTAAAATAAAATTCTTATAATGTACTCAACTTATACCAATGATAAATATCGCGTGATTTAGTGCAGGATACATCATAAACCCTAATTTGCGAAAAGACAGGTGTACAACAGATAGAGTGATTATCGGAAGTAATAAAGACGAGTAAGGGCAAAAAGACCCATCCCCCTAAAATGAAATAAAAGTAACCAATGAGGAACACCAGAACGCCCATTCTTCAAGTAGTGTAAATGCACATCTCACAAGGTTATTACTCTTCCTCCGGTGGCATCTCATCCTCAATGTATCGTACGAGGGAGACCCGCATCTCCGTAGTATCATCTCCGTGCAGCACATCACTGACAAAATGCGCCTCGATCTGCATTTGAACCTAAAAGCCGGGTCAGTGATCGGGCCCAGAACAAGGGAAAACCCACTCCCATTAACTGGGGTGCTAGTAACTTACCATCTCCAGGCACCCCCGGAGGACACCACACAAAATATTGGAGAACCATAGCTCGTCCTGAGCCCGTCCATCATCGGGAAGCTCCACAAAGTCCGCCAAGGGGTTGTCTTCAAAGATAAGGGAAAACTGAGTGTTATCACTCGTCCAGTTTGTGACTGTAGGTGTGACGTTCAGGAAGATCTTAAAGCCAACCTGATCGGATTGTCAGCCATCATAGCTTTATTATTTCCATTCTCCGTATACTGGAGTGACTCCTACCTTCGCGATCATATCAGCTGTCTCCCGGAAGTTGGCGCATCGGCCGACACCTGACTTGGCCAGGAAGTCTTCAATAAGTCGCATTCCGATATTGTATCCCATCTTGTCCAACTGCTTGTTGACATCCTGGTAGTTGCTATCGTAGTCTTGGCATAATTGTGCGACAATTGTTCCGTACGTTAATGTGACCAGCTCCGCGTTGACTTTATCGACTCTTGTTCTGCGCATGTGAAGAAAGCCAATTAGTTCGAGCTCGAGGGCGGAGATACAGCGAAATCAATTGGTCATCGCTTCTGGAGCCCCAGTGTTCGGGCATTTGGGGTTTACTGACTTCCATATTCTGTTCAAAGGTCATTGATTAGTTGAAGGTCCACTGGATAAGGCAGCCGACCTTGGGAGTTCCGCTTACTCTTCTCCTATTCTTGAGGTTTTTGTGGACGACATTCTCTAGGATTATGCTCTGGTAGCTCCAGCTGTTGGTAAAGAGGAAAATTAAGTAAATCCAGACAAACACAGGTGAATGTGACAGTCAACTGTTGATCAGGGTGATTGTGGGGGGAGTCCGTGATTGTTGGAGTTGCTGATTGTACACAAGTCATCCTACGGCCGATGAAACTGACCATGCTGGACTTTTCTTTTATTGGTTGTCTCTCTTTGCCGCCTTTTTCTCCGCCTTTTACATGATACGTATTGTACTTGGTGAGTGGGGTGAATGACTATGCTATTTTCTGCTGGACAAAAATAGCCCCAAGGCGATCAAGTCTCAATGGTCGCTTCCGTCCGCCGGACACAGCCCACTCACCGCCGAGCCCAGGCGGGATTATCGTTCTTCCCGCAGCTTCTCGCCCTGAACTTTTGCTCTCCACTACTTTTGTTTTAACTCGCGATTGGTCACCAACTAATTCTTTTTACCTCTCGAAATTCAAACCGAGGTGCTTGCTGTGACAATGTCTGGTGAAAAGCGTCCTGCTCCAGAGGGCTTTGGTACCTCGCACCAGCTCGTGGTCAAGCGGAACAAGGCCGCTGAAAACGCAGGAACCGAGCTTGTGAAGGGCTCCTCTCAAAATGGAGCGCTCATTCAATCTGTATGCGCTGAGTTTATCCTTGAAGCTCAAGGGGCGTTCATATATAATATAGCCAGCTAATTCGAGTCTACAGGTTCCTCGCACAAGTGGTTTGGATGCTCCTATCATGGAGCTGACAGGTGAGATACCGTCGCCAAATTGTCGCTATACACGCGCTAATAGAAGGAACCTACTAGGCCACTCTGGCGAAGTCTTCGCAGTTCGATTCGACTCTACCGCGCAACATATCGCATCTGGGTCCATGGATCGTTCCATCCGTATGTCTCATCTTTATCCGGGAATGCGGCCGCCGAAATATGATACTGATCGAGATTTCTTGAATAGTACTGTGGAATACATACGGACAATGCGAAAACTACGGCCAATTGACAGGTCACCGGGGAGCTGTGTTGGATCTTCAGTGGTCACGCGATTCGCGGTCACTGTTCTCGGCATCCGCAGACATGACCCTCGGAAGCTGGGATGTCGAGACCGGGGAACGAGTACGTCGTCACGTGGGCCATGAGGAGATCATCAACTGTCTCGATATCAGCAAAAGAGGACAGGAGCTTCTAGTCAGTGGTAGTGATGATGGGTCCATCGGCATCTGGGATCCTCGGCAGAAGGACGCTCTCGATTACCTCCAGACCGAACTCCCTATTACCGCAGTGGCATTGTCCGAAGCGGGTAATGAGATCTACAGTGGAGGTATTGACAATACGATCCACGCCTGGGATATTCGGAAGAAGGCCATAGTTTACTCGATGGCCGGACACACAGATACCATCACATCGCTACAAATCTCGCCAGACTCACAGACTTTGTTATCGAACTCCCATGACTCTACTGTTCGCACATGGGACATTCGTCCCTTCGCCCCTACCAACCGGCAAGTGAAGACCTACGATGGCGCTCCTGTCGGACTGGAGAAGAACCTCATCCGTGCCAGCTGGGATCCCAAAGGCGAGAAGATTGCTGCGGGCAGTGGCGATCGTAGTGTGGTTGTTTGGGAGGCCAAGACCGGTAAATTGCTGTATAAACTTCCCGGTCATAAGGGCACTGTCAATGACGTGCGCTTCTCCCCCAACGATGAACCGATTAGTGAGTATATCCCCTGTTTGCAACCAAAGCCCACAATTTCTAACATGGCCACAGTCGTTTCTTGTTCCTCCGATCGGAACCTGGTACTTGGAGAGCTGGGCAAATAAACATATGTGATAGGTATTAATGTTTTAATGAAGATCAGCGGGCGTCAAATTCATTTTTTCAAATGCCATGTGCATCCATTCCCCTGGACGCGGTTTTTGTGCTATCAAGTCAGAGAGCATCTTCCAGCTTCCAGAGGTTGACTTGTCCGGCTATATGCATCCGGATCTATGAATTGTACAATAAGAACTAAATTTCAAAGCCATGCTGCTCTTGAATATTTCAGTTTATCTATAAGAACAGTGTTATATACCGCTTTTGGTATTAATGTAGGAGTTGGACAACTAAAACGTAACTACTGCATCATGAATATACTATTGTTTCCGTGGATTTTCAGGCACTCCTTGGCATCTTCTTTCTTTTCTTCTCAACCCAACTCTTCAAGTTCTACAACATGTCTGTTTCACAATCTACTACTTCCGAACTCCCTTACTACTGTAAGGTGGATTCTATCACCGATACCACCATCACCTACCGCATGCTCTTCCTTAAGCCCAATGTCAAGTCAGAGTCGGAAAAGTGGCAGCCTTTTATTTACGGATGTTGTATGGCTGTTTTAGTACTTATTGCGATCCGTGAGTCCTACATCAATTGCGGCAATTTATTGCAAGCTATCTAGAAGATTCGTTGTAACCTCCAACGTAGGTATGGCTGTCCACATCGAAGCTCCCCGCGCCTCAGGTACCGTCGGGACTGTCGTGTCCATCCTACAGGACTTTATAATATTCGTGCAATACTACTGCCTAACCCGATATCTCTTGGCATTTAAGCGTGAAGGTTGGAAACTGAAAGGTCGTGGTTATGATCTCTCCTTTGGACCAGCACACACATACATATTCGATCCGCCACCAGTGGACAGTGGTCCGGATTTTCCCCTGCTATCGAAGGATTCTGGCGATTTCCACGTTTCCGGTCACATAGAGAAAGTTTCTCTTGAAGGACAGAGGGAATGGTGAGATAATACTCCATATTTTTTATGCATCTGCTACTGCTGACATATAAGCTTAGAGTGTGATCTTGCAGTCGTTGTGTGTTAAGCAGGGTTGAGGCGCTCGCTTGTGTATACCTTAGCTTTATCCATGTGCCCTATGGAAGAATGGTCATGAGCGGCGTTATGGCGGATGTGATACTCAGGTTGATACTCGTGTTGATAACTACCTTTTTGCAATTCCAAGTGTACGACTACCTTTGAATGGGTGTAATCTTTCATTTCCTTCGACTTGAGTAAATAATTTAAGCTTTGTTTTCCCAGAAATATATAATCAAAGCCAACCCTATATTATCAATGTGTATTCTATATCTGGTATCTGCATCCAGGGTTTATATATAGTAGGATAGCACTGAAAGTCTACAGTACATGATATGTTTACATCTATAAATTAGGATATATACTGATAATAAACTACTTTATAAAGATTCAACCTTCTATAAGCTGTAAAAATATAGTATAAACATGGTAGTTATAGTATAGTTATATAGTTAACTATGTATAGTTATAGTATGGAATGATGCAATAAGCGGGAAGAAAAAAGATTCCCCAGAGGCTTATCTGGCCGAATCCCCTTCCCAACTCCACTTTGAACAGGGTGATCACCTTGAACAGTTTATTTTCAGAGAGGCCTTAAATAAAAGGCCATCTGGCGCCCCATCCATGACCCCTACGGCGCTCAGATCTGCTTGAAGCGCACACGCGACGGAGGTGATGTTTAACGTCCGCTCCGCCTGCATGGTGGTTTGGCCCATCCTGTTATGGCTTACCGTCGTTCATGGCATGCGAGATAGCCAAGTCAAAGAACTAAGGTATGCTATATGCTACAGTCAATCCTCTTCAAAAAGTCATACAAATTAACTAATACACCTCTGTCCTCCCGCAGACAAGAAACTGAGCGCATGTTCTTCCATGGCTTCGAGAACTACCTCCAATACGCGTTCCCCGAAGACGAATTACGCGCACTAACATGCGGACCCCTTGTTCGAGACGAGAAGAATCCCGAGAATAATGATGTGTTGGGAAATTATTCCCTGACCTTGATTGACAGCTTGTCGACGCTAGCCATCCTGTCCTCGAGCCCGGACAGTGGCGAGCGAGCCTTGGCGCATTTCCAGGATGGTGTCGAGGGTTTTGTTAGATTGTATGGTGATGGCTCGGACGGTCCTGCTGGTCAGGGTGAGCGGTCGAGAGGATTTGATCTGGATAGCAAGGTACAATTGTTTGAAACTGTGATCCGAGGACTCGGTATGATTACTTCTCCTTCGTTGGCTTATCGACTTATCGATATGTCGCATGTGCTCGATTTCCGGCTTTTTTATGTCCTACCGCTAACGATTGTGCTTCAGGTGGATTGCTCAGTGCCCATCTCTTCGCCGTCGGCGAGCTACCCATCACCGGATACGAACCATCAGAACGGGAAGCTCTCTTTGCTAGCGCATGGGATAAAAGTATGTTCATACAGAGTGACCACGGTATTCTATGGTCCAATGGCTTTGTTTATGATGGCCAACTACTTCGACTTGCTGTGGATCTGGCCCACCGTTTGCTCCCCGCATTCTATACAGAGACGGGCCTTCCCTACCCTCGGGTTAACCTCCGCCACGGGATCCCATTTTACGAGAATGCGCCTTTAAATCTCAACACCCGAGATGCCGAGGGCAAGCGCAAATCCAAAAACCCGGCATCTGAGCCTGCTGAGACTTGCAGCGCTGGTGCAGGCAGTCTAGTCCTTGAGCTGACCGTCTTGAGCCGACTCACCGGTGATGGGCGTTATGAGGACTTGGGTAAGAGGGGCATTTTGGGCGGTCTGGAACCGCCGGAGTGACATCGGACTGCTTGGATTTGGCATTGATGTCGAGTCGGGGAAATGGGTGGGACCATGGGCCGGAGTAAGCAGGATCTGTTTTGACAGGTAGAAGCATTAACTAATTTTCAGTAGATCGGTGCCGGTATTGACAGCTTCTACGAGTATGCCGTCAAAGCTCATGTTCTTCTATCCGAGGGCGAGCGTCTGCCTTTCAACTCCGACAGCCCTTGGGCAGCATTGGATTCGTACTACGCTCCTCTAACGGACCACCAGCATACTGCCGAGGCCTTCCGACAGGTGTGGGAAGAATCACACACCGCGATCAATCGCCACCTATTCCGAGGCGAAGGTTATCAACATCCCCACCTTATTGTAGGGGATGTGATCACCGGTGCCACGCGAGCGTTTTGGATTGATAGCCTGAGCGCTTTCTATCCGGGAGTCCTTGCCCTGGATGGAAAGCTAGATGAAGCTATCCAAATTCATCTGCTGACTACTGCCATTTGGACACGCTACTCGGGCATCCCTGAACGATGGAACGTGGCTACTGGTGACATCGACAACGGTATGCCGTGGTATGGAGGTCGGCCCGAGTTCATCGAGTCCAACTACTACATTTATCGCGCAACTCAAGATCCTTGGTATCTGCATGTTGGAGAGATGGTTCTCAGCGACCTCAAGCGGCGTTGCTGGACCAAGTGTGGTTGGGCTGGCATTCGGAATGTTCTGACTGGTGAGCTCATTGACCGGATGGAAAGTTTCTTCATTGGAGAGACAGCCAAATATCTCTACCTGCTGTTTGACCAGGAGCATCCATTGAACAGGATCGATGCTCCCTGGGTTTTTAACACCGAAGGCCATCCTCTCATCATTCCGAGAAAATCGGCATCCACACCTCGCCCGCCGCAAACCCCATCCCAAGGCCAGGACATCGCCGGGGGAGTATGTCAAATTATCCCCTCTCCATTCTTCGGCGTGTCCTCCACGGCATCCCGAACAGACATCTTCCATGCTGCCAACTTGGCACGGCTGGATCTGATGCCTGATCGAGGAGTGGCCGCAGGTCCTATTTTGCAAGACTCACCTGGACATCAAAGTGTCTTTGTGTCTGACCTTTCATCACCAACCAATTACACCTTCTACCCGTGGACGCTGCCACCTCAGCTTGTCCCATTCAACGCCACCAGCGCGCCTATGGCCGTTCGACCCACGCTCGACATCTCATTCCCATCACTCCCAGGCGGCGTAAACATGGGACCTGGAGCGTTGGAGCGTGTCCTAGACGGGGTACTTGTAAAAACAATTGGAGGACTCCGATTGAGTATGGTTCAGGATGTACGGTTGGATCACCCGACGGCCACCACTGGGGAGGAGGAAGACGGGTATCGGGTGCAGGTGATCAACAATGTGCCATTAGGCAAAGATGAGAAGGTATATCTCTCTCGCCAAATCACCTTTGATGTCGTCGATCCGTATGATCCGAACTTCACCCGTGTTCGCGACAATGCCATGCTTGACCTCGTCATTGACGTTCTCCCAGAGCCCTCTCGCCGACGTAATGCTTCGGCTCATCCACGAGATGAAGAAACTCAACCAGGAAGCCCACACCCGCCCGAGCCCCGTCTCGCAGGTCACAGCCCCGCCTCTTCTGTCAACGATGCCGCAATTGTTGACTCCCCGGACTCAACAGTAAGAGCCATGCTATCGTCTCTGATGCACTCGGTGTCGTCGTTACTTCACAACGAACCGACCGAACCTGCGCCACTCAGGTTGACTCTCCCCGCTGCTATCTCTTCGGGCATTGGGGCCAGCCCGCTTCCGGATCTTGAAGATGCAGTTACAATGTCCTTGCTCGGCAACCCATCGACAGACCGCCTGTCGTGGTCAAGTGTATACTTCGCCGGCGATCTCTGTAATGAGGGTATTCCCCGCGAGGTCGCCCATAACCACGAAGTCCTCGTTATCAAACGTGGCGGCTGTACATTCTCGGAAAAGCTTCGCAACATCCCCGCATACCGACCAACGCGGTCCGCGCTGAAGCTAATTGTCGTCGTTTCATACGATGACGTGCCACCACACGGGTTCCACGGGCAGAGGAAAGAGTCAACGAAGCAAGCCGGGTCTCGCTCTGCGCTCGCCGCCGTCCGCGCCGAATCCACTCTCATCCGTCCACACCTCGACGAAGCTCAAATGACACCTAGCGGCATTCCACGAAACTACCTCATCAGCATGGTCATGGTCGGCGGCGGAGAGGAAACATACGAGCTCCTGCGCCATGCAAACGGCATTGGAGTCAAAAGACGATACAGCATGCGCTCTCGTGGCGTCCCAATCACGAATCTACACATTGTTTGAATATTCACAGAGATATACTATACCCTTTTGGAAGACTCTCAGATCATTTGTGGCGCTTGTTTTATGTTTCACAGGTGTACATAGGTTTAGACTTGTATAGTCAAACCTCCAGCTCATAGAGAATCGAACTGGATTCAATAACAATCTACATTCACCGTCCACCCTAGTTCCATATACAACCCACAACCCCTCACCTCAAAGCCTCGGCTTACCCTCCATCTCAACCTGAACCTTCCTCCAAGACTCAACCGCCCGCCTAGCCGCAGTCTCAGGACTAACCCTCCCATCTCTCATCCTCCGATCAAAAACCTCCATAGAAACCCACCCCTCAAACCCAACCTCGACAATCCAAGCCCTAGCAATCTCAACAACAGGCAAATACGCCCCAAACTCAACCTCCAAAGGAAAAGGCCTAGCATGCTTAGACCAAGTAAACTCCTTCGCCTCACCAGCCAAAGCCCACGGATGCGCCAAAGAATAAGGCGTCTCAAACCTCTCCGCATCAGAAAGCTGCACATAGAAAATCTTCTCCCGCGGACAATCCCGCACAAACCTCCTCAGCGAATCCCGTAGTTTCATCTCCGCGTCCATCTGCATTCCACTCGGAGACGCATTATCCCCCCCACACCCGCGTCCCTTCATGGAACGTATCCAGACACAGTCCGAAATTCGGACGGTCGACCCGCTCCACGGTTGACAGGGCGCTTTCCCAGGTTGAGATGTTCGTTCCCCATGACAGTGGCTCGTAGGCGATTGATACTACTGGTTTTATAGAGCTGGCTAGATCGGATAGTTGCTGGAGGTCGGAGATGATAGTTTTTTCGTCGCGGCTGCAGTCTGCTGTGAAGATTGATGGGACTTGTAGGTAAGGTGCGTGTAGCAGACGGGCTATCTCGAGCCAGTGCGCGGCGAGACTAAGTCTTTCTTTTAAGGGGGTTGTTGAACCTTCGTAGTTTTCGAAGGGCGCTAAGGAGAGGACTTGGATGTTGGTTTCCTGGCAGAGAGTGTGGATTCTTTGGGCTGCTGTGTGTATGGGGATGTTTGCGGTTTGGCTGTAGGTGAGGAGGTCATTGTAGACTATTTCGATCCCCGCGATGCCGGCTTGGGCTGCGGCGCGGATTTTGTCGTCGAGGATGTGGCCTGGATATTGGCTTAGGGAGATGCTGGCGATTGCTAGTTTGTTGGGTGCCATTTTTAGACTTTTCTTGTATTTTTCCTTTAGAACTGAATATTGAATCCTTTGACTTGTTTCTTTCTGGGAGACTTGATATCTTAAATTCTGGCGGAACTCGGTTTCCGGTATGTGGATGCACAAATCGACAACCCCGGCAATTGGCCATCGAGTTATTTCAGTCGGATGATCATGGGGGTATCTAGTGTGATATCTACCGGTCATTAATGACCGAAGGGTATAGGGTTGATTATTGCGTTGTAAGGGTTGGAACTATAACTCCGTACTTCAGCCTCAGATAGAAGTATACGATGAAACGATAAAACGATAAAACGTCTTTTATTGAGGTTGCAAATAGCAAGCACATAAACACAGTTTTATCAACAGCCAAGTTCCTCCAGACGAACCAGTCTCGCAATATAGAGGTCAAATGTGTCCACACTATATAACAAGTTCAACCGCGGTCATTCCGATTGTTCTTCCATCCTCGCCTATTCCAGTTTCTATGACCCAAATTCCTTTCTGTAATGATCTTTATAAGATGAGGCTCTGTCGCCAATGGCTTTGCCGTTCCCCCCCACGCAGAATAATTCAATCCCGCTTCTGTAAAGAATTGCCTGAGCCATTTATTGGTCTCCTTGTGTGGACAGATACCACTCAACGCATCGGACAATCCCTTCGAGAATTTGAAAGTGTACGTATTGCTCACATACAAAGAGTTGGATTTAGAACTTAGTGAAAGCTGCGTTTTGATTGAGAGTTGTGCGTAAAGGTGACTAGTGACTTGGCAGTCATGGAAGTATCTCTTTATGGCTGAATCGTGCGTGAAATCTTTGGGAAATATACTCGGTTCTGAGGACGAGGATATCGTATTCACCACAAGTTGTCGCTCGTTGAATGTCATACTGACACAAGGGCAGATGTCGACTAACCCCGCATAGGGCATGCAGTCACGGCCATAGAGTAGACTACACTTGTAGCAGTGGCTCTCTTTCTTGAATTGTTTGGAGGGTTTAAATGCCAAGGGCGAGTGTAGCTTCATACACACCACGCAGCATTTCCAGCGTTCGTTTTCGAGTTCCCGTAGGAGCTGGATTCGAGGGTGTGCTTCGAGCTTGGCGTTGTGGAGTATTGGTAGACGCTTTCTTCTCGGAATGAGATGTTTCGCATGGTCTGGGTCTTTTTTCTTGAGAAACGAGACAAAGTAGGTGTAGAGATATTTGCAGGTTAATGCAAAGTAGATCTGTTCGAGCGCGGGGAGATGTTTGTATATGAGGTCTAGTATCTCTGCTGGGATCTGTCCGTTGTGAAGCTTTGGGGTCTTGGGTTGATGAGAGATGGGCTTCATTTCTTTTCTGCATAGAGCTAATTGAAGTTTTGAGTTGAGCGTCATGTTGGCTGTGGTTAGTGTTATCGGAGAGGGAATTATCGGAGAGGGAAGTGGTATTAGTGACTACACTACCGTCTATAAATGAAATATAGAACTTCCCGATTTGGATGCGGTTAGTGCTACCACGTCATAGAGCATCGAGCATCGGCCGCCGTCCATATAATAAAATAAGAACTAAGTTTCAAGGATTTATAAATTTATAGATTTACTTGAAAATAGCCACACATTAGAAGACTCTGGTCTAGAGGGTTGGTTTTGAAAGATGCGACAAAATGGGCATATTATATATCCATAGATCAAGAACGGATTGTTGGACAGCTAATAGGGTAGATAAAATATATTTGCTCGGCTTGGAAGTTGAAAGGGCTCTCCGACTAATATACAGACACTCCAAACCACACTTCTATTAGATTGCATCCACCCAATCACCTTCAACTGACATAGTGCTTGATTTTGACGACACCGGTATGAGTATCAACCCATGATAACTCTTAAAGGAAAAGGCCTGCTGCGGACCCAGCCAACAGCATACCAACGATGCCAATAGCGGACTTGGACAATGGGACAGGTGCAACAATACCAGCAGCCACATTAGCAGTGGAAGTTGCAGTAGAGCCACTCGAAGTACTTGAGCCGGTACTATCCGCACCGGATTCTGTGGCACCCAGGGTCACGACTCCAGTACCAGTAGCCGTAGCTGTCGCTGTAGCTGTGGCATTGGCACCGTTGTTGCACCAAACCTCACCGGGCTCGGAGGCTTTGATCAGGCACTCCGCAAGGGTGCCAACATTCTGTCCCTGGGCAAGGCAGTAGTAGTCGCAGGAATCATACTGAACAACAGATGCCTCGGAGCAGCAGCTGCTCATGATAGCGGAGTTGTTGTTTTGCATAGGCATCGCGCATGCGGCATCGTGGGTAGGGATATCGTACAGCTTGGCATGGCAGCTAGAGGTAGCCGACGCGGAGGAAGTGGTGGAGGTCGTGGTCCCGGACATGGTGATGGTTTGTGGTTTAAACGAGCGGAACGAAATATTACTTCTTAGGATAAGTTGGACGAGGTAGTTTGCTATATTCGACCGACTGCCAGGTGGTTATCAGCTTATATACCCTCGATTCTGGGCCCCCACTTTGAGATGCCATACAACATACATATTAGTACTATAATTAGACAGGCTTTTCTCAAGCAAATCAAAAATCAAATTTCCCCTTTATCTGACTGCGGTCTACATGTATCCATTTAATTCTTCGATGTCTTATGCTTTCTTTCGTTCGTCTCTCTCAAATCTAGACGCCACGGGCTTCGCACTTTGTTGGTTATGGGTCTCTTATGAAGATGAAATGTAGGGTTAAGATGAAAGATTTATAGTATCACTTGACTGCATCGTCATGGTAGGCCTTAATTACAGACAGAGCTACTCGTTTCCAGCTCAGTCAGTGCTCGAGCCTGCTAAAAGTAGAATTTTGCATTCCGAATATGGCACTATGGCACTATTGGGTTAAATTTACACCCGGCCCAACTAACTACCAGAGATTCTTTGTGAAAACAAGATTTAGGATCAAACGCCCAAGTGGATAGTCTTTAGTGGAGTTGATATATGATGTTGAATATCGGTCTGCCGAGTTAAAATAGTACGTACAACATAGAGGCCTTACGGGTAAGTCTTAAGCCGGTATAGCAGTTATTCTACAAAGGCCCCGTAAAAGATGCTAAATTGGGGCACCACATCAGTGGCTAATCAATGATTAGTCTGACTGTGGTCGCATCTACCCACAGCAACCGGAATGGCGATCCTATTGACTTCGGCCCTTCGGGTTTACTTTTTAGGGCTACAACGGGTAGGTCGTCAATCTTATATGTCGTAAGCTGAAGGTTCGGCTAGTAAGGCATGAATATACTTCTTGTCAAATCGTTCCCTACGGCGTGAGACTCCTTTATTTTATTTACTTTTGAAGATCACTTGCATTGGTAATAAGGAATTGCAGTATCGTGTGCATGGCCACTCTTGTCGTTGCATACAACAAGGAGACCTATTAGCTGCCCACCAACCAGCTCTGGTAACCCAGCTAAGCGTATCCACTCTAAGGTCAGTATTTAATAGTAGACTGTGCTTGGATGACGACCTAGCGGGAATTCCGACAACCGTGTCTGCGAGCCATTCTGTACCCTCTCTAGAGAGCCTACGGAACATATGGATTTCAGTACGATTATTCCACATAGCAGATTATACGGCATTCCCCATAAATGTACGGCTGGGGAACACTGAGCATATTATACTATAAGTTCCCGAGGTCCCACCAAGAGGATAGCCTTCAAATTTTCCAATCGCGGGTTCTAATTCCGAATAGTCGGTCTATGTGGCCTCCATGAACAAGGAGAATGACAAACTATGAGAGCCTCAATCTGCATACAAAGACACAAAGACATCCCATGTATGTCAACACATTACGAGGTCTATAACTGTTTCAGTCACTTACATAACGTACTCTGCCCCTTGTCCCTAGCTCAGTTCGGCACCGAAGAGGTCTGAGGAAGCCCACCGTCAATATCCCTTGGGCTTCCATCAGAAGTTCCATCAACCTCCAGGCCACCATTTTCCGTATAGACGTTGGTATAGTACGGGTAGTGCACAGCAGACAGGTTGACAGCGACAGTAATCCAAGCAAACAGTCCATCTTCAACGCTATCACCCAGATACGCGTAGTTCAGCATCGGGTCAGCCTCACTGTTCTCAGTTTCCACGTTCACAACCCGGTCCTCAGCGTTAGGCGTGATGGGAATGCTGTTGGTGTTGTACGGGTAGGTTGACTCGACTGCACTGATAATATCCTGATCCCAGAAGATCTGCCCAACGTGAGATACCCTGCCACCAGCAATGGTGTTGTTTGGCAGTCTCTTCGCATGGAAGTGCGCAATGTTGTGGTAGTGCGTGGCGCGGCTGTCATAGTGGCCTGGGAATAATGTGTCAAACATGACCACGCCGTCCGAGTCAGTTTTTTGGATTCCGCGGAGGAACGTCCGGTTATGATTGGACTGGTCTGCTGAATTGCCGTTGCCATCTGCTACCAGGCCCGAATACACGCCTGTGGCATTGCATCCCCAGATCTCAGCGTAGAGATCCGGTACCGGCTTGCAGGTTTCGACATCGATGTATTGCTGCTGGATTACCACGGGGACACCGGCCTGGCCTTCGCGGATGTGAGAGCGTACCCGTTCGCCGGGGAGCCAGTATGGTCCTGTTTCTCCTTCGGGGCTTGGGCCGAGGAGACACACTCTTTCTGGGGAGTTGAAGATTTCCTTCTCCGACATCGAGGGGGACATGGAATGCGTGGCTTGGTGGGACTTGTTGAGGACTGCGTCGGTATCTCGGACGCGAAGGTGACGGCGGTGCAGATCGATCATAGCCTTGCGGCGAGATTCGGCTCGGGCTTGGAGACCATTGTTCTGGTACTCTGTCGAGCATTTCTGCAGACCACTCTGCACATTCCTCTTGTACAACTGAACGTCAGGGCCGTCAAGGGGCTCATGGTGTCCTGGGTGCGCGGAAGAGAGGAGAGCACATCCGAGGATGGCCAGGTTCAGAGCACTTTTCATGTGCATATTGATCAACGAAGAAATGAGCTATTTACCGTAACGAGCAAGAAAGTTCTTTTGAGAGGCTGTTTGTTGGTTCGACCCCTGAGAAAGCTCCAGACATCGGGTCTTATATACCTTTTCAACCGCCTATTAATAACTAATTTGTGGAATTTCACACCTCGTCTGCCCGGATAAAACTTTACTCACCCACAAAACACCATCGAAGGCATCAAAAGAGCTGGTTGCATGCGATAGACCTAGACATATTCATGGAGTTCCTACAGGTGAAAAGATATAGCACATTATTGGCTCAAGGTAGGGCTCCAGCCAATAGTTTTCACCCGAAGTGTTTCATGCATTCAGCTTACGCATCCCAAGGCCCTTATAGGGTAGAAATGGTCACCAAGATCTGCAAGGTACCTAATGAGGGGCTTAGAAGCTCGGCCCTTGTCTTAAAGAGCTAATGTTGTATTTGGTAGTGGGCGGATATAAACTCATCCATCTCTATTGAGCTGAATATGATCGACACAGAAGTGGACCATTCCGATGATCAATTCTACCTATGCACAAGTATAATCCGAAAGATGAGGCAGTGATAAGGCAGTGGGGGTAACTGTTGGCCAGTAAACCATTTTAGGCCAGTATTAATCTGAGGACAATGAGAGACTTTGTTATTCTGTAGTTTCCCCGATCTGCCTTCCTCTTCTGACCACAAGGGACTCTCAATGTCTCATAGCAAATACCCGACATGTCCTCAAGGTTATGTATAAGGACTACAGACCGGTTCACCCACCGGCTGTCACGTTAGTTCAAAGGACTACGTTAGAACCTATAACACAGAACTATCATAGTAGGTACCAGCGATCCGGTTATAAGATCAGGTAAAGTCCCCTTTATTCTGTCATAGATTCCAACTATAGTGCATATACTACCACCTACGGCGTTGCTACTCGCTAGCGTAGTCTTACTCGTGTTGTCTTATCGAGCGGTTTAGAAAGGCTTATTATACCAGAGCCTCGAAACCTCCTTAGTGCACCATATAGTGCTTTTCTTATGCTTGACAAGATTATAGTCACAGTAGTTGGTACTTATATTGATCACCCACTACGAGTCTTGTTGTTTGTGCCGGCCTACCCTTAGAAAAGAAATATAGCCCGTCCTTTGGACCTACCCTTTTTCTCGAAACCAACGGTTTCTAGACCATCACAGTATCTCCATTTATATAAGTCCCTAGTAGTTTAGTGCTTCATATAGACTACATGAAAGTGCTATTCTTCAAGTCAATATAGGTCGATTCGATCAAAGGTTATACATAGAAAAGTGCTTTTCTTATTACCTTCGTATACACCTAAACAGACATCTAAAAAGACCACAAAAGACACAAGGCCGCATAAGAAGCGGATTATTCTTATATTATTAGCAGGAAAAGCAATGGTGACGGGTTGGACCTCACATGTAGAAATTGATATGAAATAACGCAATCGGAGCTAAGCTTATGCATATACTTTTTCACTCTGAACTCATTCCTATCTCTTCTCCCTTCTCATCTTCTCATCTTCTCATCTTCTTCCTTCCACATCCAAATACACATACAAACCAAACCAAACCACTTCATCAGAAACCATGTCTTCCCACCCGATCACCCTACAACCAACAGAAAGACACACTCAAGCCCCAATCCCCCCACCAACCGCAAACCCACTGGAATACCCCAAATATCTCTACTTCGCCTACGGCTCCAATCTCTCACCATCCCAAATGAAAACCCGCTGTCGCATAAACCCAACCCACTCCTCCACCCCACTAGCAATCGCAACCCTACCGCACTGGCGCTGGTTAATCTGCGAAGCGGGCTACGCAAATGTCCTCCCACCACCTGGTCTGCGCGTCGCGAATCAAGACTCTGAAACCGCGCACAAGATCCCAATTTCCGGGTCCGAGGATACTGTCTACGGTGTTCTTTACCAGATGGATCTTGGCGATGAGAGGATTCTAGATTGTTATGAGGGTGTTGATACTTCTGCTGTTGATGCCGGGGCTGAGGATGGTGTGCCCATTTCTATTAGGCCCAAAGTGCAGGGAGATGGGTCTTATAATAAGTGGTTCGTCGAGGCGGATGTTGTGAAATGGTTGGATGGGGCGGAGAAGTTTAGGGCGGGGCTGGATGAGGGGAAGATGTCTGTTTTGGTTTATGTCGATGAGAACTGTGTGAAGCTTTCGGGGCCGAAGTTTGAGTATATTGCGAGGATGAATCGGGCTATTCGGGAGTCGGTGGATTTGGGAGTTCCCGTGAAATGGGTGGAGGAGGTTATGAGGAAGTTCATTCCTGAGGCCTAAGGAGGGAAATTACTATTAGATTGATAAGGTGTATTCAAAAGTATGTCTAATCTTTGGTCATGTCAAGTCCAACAGAAAGCTACTCTTAAAATTAGAACAGATGATTAGCCAATTTTATACACATATCAAGTTGCATTGATGAAAGCTATTTGTCTATATTGGGGGATATTATCCGGGCAGCTCTGCGCCAGCTGGGGCGGGTGCCGTCGACCAGCGAAACAAGGCTCCAGACTCGAAGTTCGAGTGAATTGTTTGATTGGGCCCGGAGGGAGCGGATGGCAGACGCTCACCGCAAGATCGGGTGTGGTCGGGCGTTTTGAAAGGATGGGGTCATTATAATCGGCAGTTGAGATCGTCGCAGAAAGAAATGATTTTTTTGAAGCGGTGTGTGTATAAATTAAGCCTGGCCAGACAGGAGAGTGTAAACCGGCGCGGGGAGCTTGTCGCGTCCGTGGAGGAACTCAAGTTCGAGGAGGAAGATGAAACCGAGGAGCTCGCCGCCCATCTTCTGGATCAGCTCACCACCGGCCTTGGCAGAGCCACCTAAAATATAGTTTATTAGTATGAAGGGTATTTATCCACCAGAGATTCTCATCACTTACCAGTAGCAATAATGTCATCAATGACGAGGACCTTCTGACCGGGCTTGATGGAATCGGCCTGCATCTGGAAGAAATCCTGACCATACTCCTTCTCGTAGCCCTGAGTCTCACAGGGACCGGGGAGCTTGCCCTGCTTGCGCACGGGGACGAAGCTGGCACCCAAACGCAGCGCCAGGCTGGGGCCCATCAGGAAACCACGGGCCTCGAGGCCAACAATGACATCGGGCTTCTGGCCACCGTAGTTGGCGATAATGTGAAGTTCCAGGGAGCGGATCAGGGCCTCATGGAGAGAAGGATCGGCGAAGATAGGAAGGATATCCTCGAATAAGATTCCGGGAGAAGGGAAATCCGGGAACTGGCGCAGGGCGGCGCGAAGTCTTACCTTAAGACTGGCGAGTTCGGCGGCGCTGGCGGCATCGGAGGCGGGGAGTCCGACTTTGGAGGCATCTGGGAGAGTGGAGGACATGATGATAGAAAGGAAGAGAAGAAAGAGGGGGAAAGAGGCTTTGAAGTAAAAGGGGTTTTAAAAAAAACCCAAAAAAAAAAAATATTTGGAGGGGAAAAAAAGGAAATGGGTGAAAATTACAGATAAGGATAATCGGGTTGCCCCTCAGGTCTAGATCGTTACTTGTTTTTTTCCCTTTTGAGTATTTTATATCTTTTAATTACTATATATACTATATATTCTTTATACACTTATACACTTATACACTTTATATTTATATGTATATAGTAGTATATCAATATTATTACACATTAGATATTAGATACTATATATTCTATATCAAATACACCGAGGTATAGTATACACAGTATACAAATCAGCGGTCAGATCCCGCCGGTAAAATACTTCAATACTGCGGTCACGCAATTGCATCTTCTTCTAGAAGGTCAAACTACTTAGTTACTATTAACACTAGTAACCAGTATACACCTTACTATACTCGTACAGAGAGTACAGCGTAACTCTTAGATATGCCCAACCGGGGTCTGATCGGCCAGACCCTACTTAGCCCCCCGTAAACTTAGTGCTCAGTCCCCTCATCGTCAGGGGACTGGTGTCGTAAACTGATACCACTCCTTCGTCATCTCTTTGTGTTCCAGTTCTCCAAAAAGCCTAGACCGTTAAACTACGACCTGGAGTTTACGGTTACTTTCGAGAGTCTAACAGGCAGAAACCTGGACTAGAAACTGAAACTACCAGATACCGGACTATCTCAAGAGGTCATCATAAATGACTCACCCTGGATGTTGTCCAGACCGGATATTTAAAACGGCATTGGATCAGACCATCTGAACGAATATGCACCGGATGGCCAGCCTTGACACATCATACAGCCATTACACCTATCCCCGGACCAATGGGATGTCTTAGGCCACGACGTGATCTGAAACTCATCACAGTGGCTTTACTGGAAACAGACATGCGTGCTGCATGCCGGGATGTCTGTTGTGCAGATGGTTGGGGGGATTTCTGTGTAATTGTATACTGGTCAGCCCCTCATTAAGCTGAGAAGCGGAGCAAAAGTACGAGATGAAACGAAAAATTAACCAACATAACCAACATAAATAACTAAACAAGAGAAAAAGGTTAATCGGTTGTAGATCATAGTTCATGAATCAAATAAAGTAACAAAAAAAGAAATCTTAGGATTAATTTGTAGGAATAGCCGAACGCGGGGGTCGAACCCGCAGCCTTAAGATTAAGAGTCTTACGCTCTACCGATTGAGCTAGCCCGGCTGGGCTGTTGAAGGAGGTTGCAATATAGTATTACATAAGTCAAAAACAGCTATTAATTCAACACCTCCAATTGGAATTGTTAAGTTATTGTGCAATATAGTATCAACTCCTATATTTTCTTCTGCTATCATGTACCTTCCCTTGCTATCAGTAATCTCTTCCGTACCATATCTATATATATTTTACTTTGAACAGCTCATTGCAAATATATATATATATACCAACTTCCGCTCGACGAGTTGTCGATCTCATGAATGGGAATCATATAAACCCGTAGCTTTGCATTATGTACATACTATAAAATGGAACACCAAGTATTCAAGTATTAAAAGCTACCAAAGTAATCATATATTCTTCAAGTAATCTCACTGGGATACCTCCCGGGTGGGCAGGTTGACTGTACTGACTCATTGTCTCACACTTAAACCTCCAAGACACCAATAAGTTTCCACCTCCATGTACCTGCATGTACCTGCATATAGATACTCTATTCGATGTCAAAAGGGTAGATATATGTACCCCTTTGTACATCGACGTATACTCGGCCTCGGCCCCAGCCTAAAACAGGACTAGCCCCTCACATGACCAGCACAGACCACCTCGCTTCAAGTTTTTCCGGCGTCGACCCAATCGCTATAAATCCGCCTGTTTTCCTCTTTTCCATCTCTCATGCTTTTGGAAGTTTGAGAGCCTCAACAGGCCACTCCCACCTCAGATGAATTATTTCTGATACTCTGTAATACATTCAGTCAATGTCACCTGCTGTTATTACCAACATGCAGCCGGATCTGCACCATGACCAGCTCGAGGCCGTCGGCGAAGCCTTCGATGCACTCCTACTAACCGTGTACCGGCTGACTCACAGACAAAATGAGCTGTTTCAGCACATGGATAATGTCTTCAAACAGGTAAATACATACTCCTTCTCTCCCTTTTCCCTTCCGCATTCTGGTCTCGCATGACGAAGAAATAGCTCTAGATCAGGAGTCACTTTTGTGGCAATGACGGATTAACATGTATTATCTGATTGAGACCATAACTGCCATGCTGTTGTGATATTTGACAAGATGAACATTGCTAACATTGTATCTTGCAGTACACAGATGTGATAGAAATTCTGCCTCCTCAAGATAGACATCGTGCCTTTGACGTTCAGAACAAGCTGCTCGCGCAGCAAGAAGAATACCGTCAGGGCCTCGTACACAACAAGCCTCGAGTTGAGGAACAACCGTTGAATTCCATGGATGTAATCAAGACCCTCGTTGCACATCAAAATGTAGACGAAAATACTTTCTTGGCCATTAAGAATGGAGTCAAAGGATGCAAATCTCTGCTCCGTTCTCAAGATAACCTCTCCCAAATATCCTCCAACTCGTGCATCCTCGCGCAAGCACCGGCTCCAGCAATCGCGCTGGAGAAGGACTTCACAACGAATGGCACCCAGGGAAATCTACATTGCCCCTTCTCCAAACCGAATAAGATGCAGAGTGCAAATGCTAGTGAGGCCCCTAGTGGGAAAAATTTAGCGCCGAAGGTCCATATTGAAGCCACCTGCGGCCACGAGCATCTGGACCCAATCAAGGCTGAACTCGAAGACCGACACTCTAGCCACACCCCATCAGTCCCGTCATCGAAAGGAGGATGTCCCGTCTCCCGATGCCCGATCCGATTCCTCGATCAACACTCCCCCGAAGAAATCGCCGAATACGTCGAACGACACAAACATGAGATCCCCCGCAGCCACGCAATTTGCGTCAAGCGTTATCAGCGAAACCCACAAGACATGAGACAACTGGACGCCAAATACGGCGGCCTGACCAGCATGATCGCTGGCTTAGGTGTCAAGCACCAAGCCTTCTTGCCCGACCGTCATACCAACGGCGAAGGCCACTCCTCGCATTCTGCGTCGAGTGAGCGTGTTGAGAAATGGGCTGAGAACGTGGACCCCAGTACACTAAGTGCCAAGAATGAGGAGAGCGAGGAGAAGAACGAAGAGAATAAGAATGAGGATGATAACCGCCAGAGTCACTTCGACCGTCCTCTCCGTGAAGTCCGCGTGGGTGAATCCCCAAGCAGGCCTTGGGGCATTTCAGTGCCGGTCACACATCTACCTTCTACCTCAGCGCCGTTCTCTGATTCGGCGTCTATCCCCACATCTCCCGACCCCCAAGCCGACAAACCTGATAAACCCACCGATGTCAACGTCCTTGATGCCAAGCCCGCCGACGGCTGTCCATTCGGTCACGGCAAACCAAAGCCTGAAGCTTCAAAGCCCGAAATGGAAACACCTTGGAGTGATGAGAGGCCCAAGGACAATGACGTTGCTGCACCAAAGAAAACCGGTTGTCCATTCAGCCACAATCAATCGAAGGCCGAAGTTCCAAAGCCTGAAACTGAGACCCCCGGACTGGTGAGTGGCCGAAGACCTGGCCCAAGGATGCTGTCGCAGATCAAGTGCCTGCTCCCCAAGTTGACCCGACTGTTCCTGTGAGCGAGGATTCGACTACGAAACCCGACATGCCCTCGACATTCTCAACTCCCTCCCACATAACCTTCAATGGCCCCGTCTTCTTCGGGTACTCTGCCGAGGAGACTGCCAACCTATTGCGGCAGTTCGGCAACCTGGGCCAATCATGACCTTAAAGAAACTTGACTTGTATAGTATGTTATGTTCATGGAAGTCGCAGGCTTTTAACGCATCACGACGAAACGACTTAATCTTTTTTTTTAAAAAATTTTTTTTTAGCAAGCAATGCCATTGTTGCATTAGCCCAATTGAATCCTGATTTAATACAAATTTCAATATAATAATATCTACAACTACAATAACAACAATAACAACCAAATCCACAACGTAAAGTAAAAGAATGACTTCATCGGGGAGCATCAACGCTCTCCGAGGGAAAACTCGCAGAGCGGGGCATCTTCGTTATCATCGCCTTTCCTATAATTAACCTCTTCTCCTCTTCTCTTCCCCGATGCTGCGAATTACTCCTCGTCTTCTATCTCTATCTCGAATCCTCCGTCCTTCAATCCCACTCAGACCTCAATTCCCTTCTATAATGTCTGCCAACATGTCCATCATCTCCGCTAAGGATGCCTGCCCTCGTAAGTCAAGTCCAACTATGCTTCCTCCCCTGCCTCTTAGACATCGAAAGCAGACCAGATTCAATTCCAGAAAAGAACCCAAAACAAACAAAAGAGCAAATAGCTAACTCATATCTCCTATAGCTGCCGGCCCTTACGTACGTCGTCCTCCCCTCCATTTGCATATGCAGCTCCATCTATCTATCTATCTACCTTGGGAGCTAGCTACCCCTCCATACCGAAACAATCCACTTCAAAACCACCCATTCCCACACCCACACACATTGTACAACTACAAAAGACCCATCTAACAAATAAACTACAGTCCCAGGCCATCCGTGCCAACGGCCAGATCTTCGTCTCCGGCCAGATCCCCGCCGACGCCTCCGCCAACTTGGTCGAGGGTAACATCGGCGCCAAGACACAGGTCTGCTGCGACAACATCAAGGCTATCCTGACTGCTGCTGGATCCAGCGTCGACAAGATCGTCAAGGTCAATGTATGTGTCTTCTCCCCCTGCCTTTTGCTATTGTGGTGCTTTCTGGACTTGGCTTTGTCAGAGAAAGAAGTATACGCAAGTTATGAGGAGAAGGACCGCTTTGCTGATCTTGATTTTTCTTTTCTTAGGTCTTCCTGACTGATATGGCCAACTTCGCTGAGATGAACGCTACTTACGAGAAGTTCTTCGTTCACAAGCCTGCTCGTAGCTGTGTTGCTGTTCACCAGCTGCCCAAGGGTGTGCCCGTTGAGATTGAGTGCATTGCGCTGGAGTAGATTCTGGAATCTATTTAATTTAGGACTTCTATTCGAGTTATGGAAAACAATATATAAAAACAGTCTAGAATAAGAATAAGAATGAATTCGATCGAATTATGTTGTAGAAATTCCCGGGAGACTTCATCTTCATTATTTCCATTTTCCATTTTCGATTCCGTTTCTCTCAAGAAACATACATGCGCGAGTACAAGCAGATGCCAAATTGGGAATCATAAGAGTCAAGGGTCCATCCGTAATGAGATAGAATGCAAGATACGAAGGAAATGGAGAAGAGGGAAGAAAAAAAAGAAAACACAACATTGCTGGCTTGATGGATAAGGAAAATAGGGGAAAATAAAAGCTGAAAGGTAGGAGAGCTTGCTAGAAAGGTGCATGTTCACCTGCCGCGAGGGATGATACCGCTCATGCGGCTTCCAGCACCGGCCATCAGACTCTGTTTCACGATAGCATCGGCAGCAGCAGCGGCAGCAAGTCTTTCTTTCTGACGACTACGGTCGCGAAGATAGCCGGCAGCTTCAGGGCGCATGCGAAGAATGCGCAGGATCATGTCGTCGTTCGGATCAGCCTGCGCCTCCCGCCGTTTCTCTTCCTTGGCCTTCCTCATCGTGCCTAGATTGCGGGAAAGCATGATGCTCTTGGCGCGACGGGCAGCAGGAAGACCCAAGCCGCCGTAGCCGGCACCTGTGGCACCGAGGTGGACAGGTGCGGAATTGCGGTTGCGGGCTGCTTGTTGGCGATTGACAGTCGCCGAGGCCATCCGCTCGGAGGTGCGAATGAGATGCTCCGTTGGTTCGAAGTAGAAGAAATTCAGAGACTGAATTTCGTGATATTTGGGTGATTTCAGGATATTGATTGGGACGCCGTTTGCTTCGCCGGTTTCGTCGTCAATCGCGTGGAAGAAGTTCAATAGTAGCACGAGCCAGCGTGATACGATGTCGACTTCTTGGATGGTTAGTGGCTTCTGATGGGATGGCTTATCCGACAGAGGTGGTACGAGTAGACTCTCGATAGTGGCAAGTACTTCCTTCCACAGGCGAGCCATCACCATCTTCATGGCTTCGGGTGTGAGGGTTTTGTTCATGATGGCGAAGTTATCATTGAAGTAATTGAACAGAGGAGTCAGTGCATTTTCGACCTCTGCCGGGGTAGGTCCGGCAGGAGCTGGTTGCGCTCGGTTCCGATTCAAGAAGCTCGAGACGCTAGATATACTGAGTCCGCGAGAGAGCAGAGACTTGAGTGTTCGCCGGGAAAGACAGTGACTGATATATGCCGAAAGCTTCTCTGTGATCTTTCGAGTCATATCCCTTTCAGTTCGTTTGAGTGTACGGAAAGCCTTGCCGAAGTAGAACTGGATGTCGTCTCGCTCGCCTTCCATACTGACTCGGAGCAGAAGCCGACCCTGGGTATCCAGGTCGAGCCAATACTCTCTTGGCAGGAAGTCACTGAAGTGCGCGGGATCCAGCTTGATTGACGTGCGACCAACATAGTCGTGATCGCCCACTGCATCCCAGTCCCAGATGGTAGCGATCATATTCAGAGGGCCTTGTGTAGTGAGATCCACGGCATCCTCCCATCGGGGATTAAGATTATTGTAGATGATGCGAGTTTTGGCGATCCGTTTCTGATATTCGTCAGTCAAGACGACATACGGATCGCTGCCACCACCAATGTCGCATGCTTTCAAGTCCTCTGCTTCTACCACCTTGATTGTGAAGACATAGGTGGTAGACTTGCGGACCTTCTTGAGCTGCGGGGGAGTATTTCTTGCAATGACCTCGGCGCACCCGTCGACGTTGATGTCACTTTCGAGTTTGTCGAGCTGAGCAAGTGCATACTCAATATTGTTCAGTTTCACCAGGGACTATGGAAAATGTTAGCCGGGATGTTTACCTAGTTGAAATGGACAATAACATACCTCAGACGAGAATTGGAAGGGTTCGATTTTATCCTTGTTTGTCCAGGTGTCTTTGGCGAACTGCATCAGCTTTTCCTGAGTGGTTTGGTTCAATGCTGCCTCCTGCTCGGGTGTGAGACGATCCATCTCCCGTGTGAACATCTTCTCTAAGGAGTCACAGTACGTTGCCACGCCTTTTCCAATTGAATTGGAGAGATGCGTCATGAACTTCGCATATTGAAGATCATCGTCCCACTCCAGTTGCACCATACTTTCAACAACTTGGTTGAAAGACCGGAAAATATCAATAACTGACACACTGTGACGATCATCTTCAGGCGCAAGGTCTGTCGTTCCATCTACACGAACGGCGAATGCATCTTGTCTTGTGGCTTGGCTGACCCAATCCATGATCTTTTGATCAGTCAGACGAAGCCATCTCCAAACGAAGTCTTGAAGGAGACTCTCCACATGGAATGGGAATGGAGCACTAAGCTAAGTTAGTAATTTCATAGGAATAGCATGGGAGTCGAGGGGCTTACTCTTCATGGGTGTTATGGAATAACCGTCTGATCGTAGCGAGCTGCTTGTATAGGTCGAAGCCGTCGTCAATAGCGATCTCCTCACCTCGCGCTTTTGCCTGCTCGAGAATCCTAATGATCATTTCATGTACATCCTCGGCGAACATAGGGAGTACGTTATGACACAAGGTGGTATAGGGGTTCACACTACTTGTAAGTTAGAGACTGATCAACTAGACAGACGAGAAAGAAAGAAAAAAACCCACCCCATGATCTCCGGGTTATTGCGGTAGCGTTTCTGGATCTTTAGCGCAAGTTTTGAGATTGCATCTCCAAGCTGAATGACATGGTCGGGATCCCAAGCCTCTTGTTCCATGGGGATTAGTTGACTAAGAAGGCTTTGATACTTTGCTGTTGCTTTTTCGGCAAGTCCTTCTTGCACATACGTGCTGAATCGATTGATGTCTTCAGGGTCCTCAACGTAACTGGGATCCATCTGGACGTGGGTATCAAGAATGTACATAACTGGACCGAGTGGGCGTGGCTTTGCCTCAAAGCAATCCATCATAGCCTCATATAGTTCTCGGAGCAAAGCCTCATGAAGTTTGGACAGCAGCATTTGCATCGTTTGAAGATCATGTATGGTCCATCGTCGCCGATCAAAGACCGTGGAAGGCGCAAAGCTACTGCGCTTGCGGTTCTCCCCCGAAGGCACTTCTTTCACAAAAGTAAACGCCGAGTCAAGAGTGTTGAGGTCAATCTCATTGTCAACAAATTTAGTCTGAGCCACCTCGAGGAACAACACAACCCGGGAGGAGGCTGGAATCCGCCAGCGGAGACATATCTCATTAAGCATCTCCGTGGACTGCTTCGACAACAGTTTCATTGAAGGCACGTCAGAGGTGGCCTGCGTAGCTTCAAATTCCCGGTCCCGCAGATCATGGGCCAAGGTCTGGGACAAGATGTATTTGTACAAAGACCTAGGGTCAGACGGTATGAATGTGTATATATCGGATTCGTCTGACTGTTCTAGAGAAAGCCCACTCAAATCAACAGGCTGATCAATGATAGAAGATGTTCTGTCAGTCCGACCAGACGAAGTCCTTGACAAGTCGGAGTTTTCGTGGGAACTCGAATTAAACTGAGGAAGAGACCCCGGGGTGCTTTTGGCCAGGTCAGGGTGGGATTGCATGATTGCGAGCATCATCTGTG